GTGGCAGCTCAGCTCAAGGTGCTGGGTTCAGTCTTAGTTGCAGGTGGCCGTAGCCCACCATCGAACAGGCAACCCTGTTGTTAGGAGCACGTGCTCTCACCAGCTGAGTTATCCTGCCACCTGTTGACGGCTCAGTGGCAGCTCAGCTCGGGTGCAGCATCACTGGCCCATGTGGGAATTGAACTGGCGGCCCTGTTGCTCAGAGCTCGCGCTCTTAAGCTCTCAACCAACTAAACCACTCTGCTGGCCCCTCTGGCCCAGTTTTGATGATGGTGTTTGGAAAGCCGGCTGCCATACTTGATAAGGCTTGGCTGTGGCAGTACATTGGGGATCAGTTTCAGGAGCTGGTAGAGAGAGGAGGAAGCTGGGACTGGTGGGGCTGGAGTTAAGCCTGCTAACCCAGTTTGAGAGCAGATCACTCAACTGACTCCAACATACAGAAGTCAGAGCTGAGCTGGGCCTGCAGGGCTGTGGCGAGCTGCGGACGTGGGTCTCTGTTCCGCAGGATGGGATTCATTAACATTGTCAAGAATAAGGACTACTTCAAGAGATACCAAATGAAATTCACAAGATGATGAGAGGGTAAATTGATTACTATGCGTGGAAACTCTTGGTAGTCCTGGATAAAAATAAGTACCACGCACCCAAATATAGGCTGATAGTTTCTGTAACCAAGAGATATAATTTGTCAGATTTCTTCTGCCCATATAGGAGATATGATAGTTTGTGTAGCTTATGCTCATGAACTCCCAAATATGACTTGATGGTTGGCCTGACAAATTATGCCGCAGCCTATTGTACTGGCCTGCTGCTGGCCCGCAGGCTTCTCAATGGGTTTGGCAAGGACAAGATCTATGAAGGTCAAGTCGAGGTGACTGGAATGAATACAATGTGGAAAGCACTGATGGTCAACCTGGTGCCTTCACTTGCTATCTGGATGCAGGGCTTGCCAGAACTACTACTGGAAATAGAGTTTTGTAGGCCCTGAAGGGAGCTGTCGATGGAGGCTTGTCTAGCCCTCACAGTACCAAACGATTCCCAGGTTATGATTCAGAAAGCTGGGCATTCAGTGCAGAAGTACATCGGAAGCACCTCATGGGTCAGAATGTTGCAGATTATATGCGTTACCTAATGGCAGAAGAGGAAGACGCTTACAAGAAACAATTCTCTCAATACATAAAGAACAACGTAACTCCAGACATGGAGGGGATGTACAAGAAAGCTCATGCTGCTACACAAGAGAATCCAGTCTATCAGAAGAAGCCTAAGAAAGAAGTTAAAAAAAAGAGGTGGAACTGTCCCAAAACGTCTCTTGCCCAGAAGAAAGATCGGGTAACTCAGAAGAAGGCAAGCTTCCTTAGAGCTCAGCAATGGGCTGCTGAGAGCTAATAAACCAAACAACTTTCTTTGAAGATTTTTCATATAAAGACAATACATTTTTTGATTAAACAGCTAAAAAGAAAAAAAAAAAAGTCTTGGCTAACCACCAGGCTTGCTTTGTGTGCGTCAGTAGGCTAATAGGTCCAAAGAGTCTTATTGTCCCTGTCTTCAAAATCTATTTCCAGTCCATTTTGGTAGGAATAATAATGAAATTGTAGCTAACATTTAATAATGTGGCAGCTGCTCTACTAAGTGTTATCTCATTTAATCTCCACTATCACCTCAACAAGCAATGAATATAGTAACTACCCTGGTAATAATAACTACCATTTAATGAGGACTTATTGTGTGCCAGAGGGTGCTAAGAGCTTTAGATAGATAACATTTCATTCTCACAATATTATCACCATTTTACAAATGAAGGAAGTCAGCCCCAAAGATTAGGAATCTGCGTCAAGTTCGCAGCTAGTAACTGGCAGTGCTGATTGGAACCCAGTCTTTTTTAAATTTATTTTTTATTATTATTAGATTCAGGTGTATAAAACAATGCAATAGATGTCCTTTTTACCCCTTACAAAGTGACAACCCCCGTCCCCCCATCCACTGCCCCCCGACTCCCGATATCATACTTATCTATTGCAATTCCAGTGACTCCATTCCCACACTATACTCCACATCCCATGACTATATATGTATTAAATTATAGCTGGCATATAATATTATTCAACGGCAGCTTCAGATGTACAGTGCAGTGGTCAGGCCTCTACACCATTCATGAAGTGGTCTCCCTAACAAGACATGAGTCCATCTGGCCCCCTAAAAAATAATCCAAGACACTAATTTGAAAAAATATATGCACCTCTATATTCACTGCAGTGCTATTTACAATAGCCAAGACTTGGAAACAATCGAAATGCCCATTGGCATTACCTTCTGCCATCTTAGGCACTACAGTGTGATACAACTGAAAGAGCATTAAGGAGATGAAGGTTCTTGTCCTGACCTGGAATTGAGGTGTCAGTCTCAAACAAGCTCTTGGGAAGCAAGCTCTCTGATACCCATTCTATTTTTCTTGTAGCATAAACAGTGCTATGTAAATGAGAGGCTATCAAAGCATCTTGAAGAACACTGGCTTGTAATTCATCGGCTAGCAGATGGTCTGTCACTAGGATGAAAATGCGCACCGCAGTGCTTCAGATCATCTATTATGATGATATTTCATTTTTATAAACCTTAGGACAGTGCCATGCTATAAACTAAACATGAATGTCGACTTTCAATAAAGAAATTGTGATATTACAGCGCACAAGTCACCAACAATAGACCAAATGCAGTAACAAAATCTAAATCTAAATCTATGTATAGCTTCACTTACCAGTTTAGGTAAGAGTTTTACACTGCTGCTGCACTGGTAAAGTGAAGCGACTACAGTTAAGGGAGAAATGAATATAGAGCATAGATACTAAAGCAATGCATGAAAACAACAGATGTTAAATTGAATAATTCAACAAATGTTTAACATTTTATCAACAGGAAGTCTAAATAAGTGAGTTTTCCCTCAGTAAATTTTCATAACTTGATGGGCCATAATATGCTGACAAAGCTTCTGATTTACAGATTATATAAAATACAGTTTAAAGGTTCTTTATTCTTCTGATTCTTTAAATATTAGCATCAGCAGACACTAATATTATTTTGAACCTGATTTGCATCAATCTGAAGTATGGCCAATAGGCTAAATATGAGGATAGAAAAAATAAAAAGAGTACTTACTAGGTGAAAACTACCTTCTTTTATACGTCAAGTTGGTGAAAAATGCTTGATCATATCAACACTATAAATGTGAGGTATGGGAGAAAGGTTAAGCTTCTCCCAGCCTCCAAAACAAAAAATAAGACCAGCAACTGAAAGCACCTTGAAAACCACATTTTAACAAAAGCAGGGGTAACTTTGATTCACAATTATCTTTAGTTATGAATGTACTTAAAAACTTGTTCATAAAGCTGCAGATATAGTGGGAGTGTCTTTTAAAAGATCCCAGGAAAACACTCACCAAATAACACGGAACATAGTATTCAAAGCTGTTACTGTCTGTCTATACAGATACAGCACATTGTTACACATACTTTATTCGAAATTTAGTACCACGAAAACATTTGTTGTAAGAGGTCAGTGTAATGTCTCATTAATCTAGGAACTCTGGCACTGAAAGCGTGAATAACCCAAGGTAATGATGTCGTCACCAAGGGACGACAAGAATAGAACCCAAATCCCTTGACTCCCCAGCTTGTGTTTTCCACTAATTGTGCTCCTTTCTACTCATCGGAGGGTATCAAACATACAGTGTTGGAGAAGGGAGTGGACACCAATGAGCCAAGTCCGAGAGGTGAAGACTGCACTGAAGAGCGTCAGGAATCACTCTTTGGCACTTTCCTTTGTTTTGGCCTAGGAAGATGAAAGCAGCAGCAACCACAAACCCCTGGGACCAAGAACTGGAACTAGGTACTGCTTATTGTGGTAACTCTCTCTTCCTCATTTTAGGCCTTTCCTTTTTAACCTCTCCCTTCCGGCCAGCCCTAACGGCCTCTCCACCTCACCCCCTGTCTATTCCCCTCCTTCATCTCCACTGTGCACTTGATCGACCGGTGTCCCCTAGTAAAAAGCGGCTGCGCTGCACTCGTCTCCACCTGACCCTGCGTCCAGTCCAGAACACCCAGCAGACATGTTCTGGGTGTCCCTAGAGGCACAAGCTTTTAGGCTAGAAAATGAGTGCTAGTCAAGCATTTTAAGTGTGTTGCAACGGTTAGAAACTTAAGAGGTGGGAACGGGGACAAATACCCAGTTTGCTGTACGTTCTATGTAGCTCGTCACGACAAAGCGACATTTAGACAATAAGCAAAGAGCCCTTCTCTTTAGCTAGGAGCTGCACACAGCTCACCCGTCCCCTGGGCTACCTCCGCCCGAAGACGCCCAGGGGAGCGCGCGTGTTTACACTTTTCCTAGTCCGGGGGGAGGAGACAGCCGCTCTTGGGCCGGGGGGTTTCCAAACCGTTACTCCGCCTGCCGGGGTGAGGCCAGCCCAGCGCCAGAGCATGCGCAGTGGGCCTGGCTGGCTCCAGGGATCCAATGCACTTCAAGTCCCAGAAGGCAACGCTCAGCGGGGGCGGGCATCCGCCTCACCTGCTGTGAGTTTATTCCTCCAGCTACTACCGCTCTCCTCCTCCCCGGTTCACGTCCGCCTCCTTTCCAGTGAAAGGCTACTTTCTCTTGAAGCACGTGACGAGAAGCCGTAGCAGCCCCGACATCGACTCTCTTAGCGTGCTCGCTCTTTCTCCTTCAGCTTGAAGTATGCCCAATTCCCTCACCGGAGTTGGGTAGTGTAAGCCAGAAAAGGAAGCCCTGGGAGGGCAACCTGATCGTACTTCCGCCTCCCGGGCTCCGGACGGTAGCGCGCACGCGCTCCCTGCGACTCCGGCGCAGTTGACTTCCGCTCCCACTGTGCTCTGCGAGCCGAATCATGGATCACACTGGTAAGGAGGCGGAGGCAGTGGGGGTCCCGGTTCCATGCCCCCTTGGCCGGCCTCGGACTGGTCGCCTAGCGGGTATAGTGGGGTTACGCTCGTCCTACATTACTGGGGTGTAGCGGTGAGAAAGAAATCTCACAGATCCTTCCCCGTGCCCGGCAAGGGCCTGCTACTTCCCGGCCTACTTTCCGGTGTGGTACCTACAGCCTCGGTGCCGGCAACGGCCACTTATCTGGTTCTGCTGAGCCCCGAGCCTGGACGGCGGGCGGCGCGGGCCTTGCGGAGAAGACTCTCTCTCTCTCTCTCATCCTGGGTGCTCTGCCCTACATTACGGGGACTGGCGCGTGATTCCAATGTCGGAGTCGGGGAAGCCTTATTACGTTGGGAGTGGATGCGCGAGAGAGGGTTGGAGACGTTCTGCTGTCTCAGTCAGCTCTGGGCGGGTGCTGCGGTGATCAACGTCTGTCGTTATTGTCTCTCCGGTCCTTTATGGACTAGAGGTGGGAGAAGGGAGTCGGATGTGGTGTTCGGAATGATACTCGGAGCAGTTTTTCTGTCGAAGCCCAAAGCATGCTCCGCACTTTGGCTATGGTTCTTACTCATCATTTGGGGACGTTTACAAAGGAGAACTTAAAATCAAGATATTCACATCTCTTAAAGTAAGAATGTCTCCACTCTTGGTTATGTGCTTTTTGGTTTTACTTTCTGCGTTTTTGGATATTAAATGAGTGCACTTGGAGTTAGAAAGTGCTTCCTACAGTTACACTATCTATTGTATATCCCAAGTAGGGAAAAAGGGTTTTCCCTGTATTAAGTACTTGTTGGGATGCCCTCAATCATCAAATGTCTGTCTGTCTTGTCTATCTAGCTTTGATACTTGTAGGCCTGGAGATGGAATGGTAAACGAGGTAGAGTTACTGTCATGGAGGTTACATTCTATTGGGGAAGACACAATAAATTTTTTAAAAAGCCCAGATGTTTACAGATTATGGTAAATGCTTTGAAAACACTAAAATGCTTTGGTAAAGACTGATAGGAGGACGCTTCAGAGAGGGTGGTAGGCAAGGTCTTTCTGGAAAGGTAACATTTATAACTTGAGATCTGATGGATGAGAAGCATCCAGCCATGGACTAAATCAGGAGGAAAGCATTTTCAGCAAGTACAAAGCTTGAAGTGGGAAACTAGTCGGCTGCAGCTTAGTTGTTAGCAAGAAGGAAAGAGCTCTAAGATGAGATTGGAAGGGAGGGCAGGAATCAGGTCGTGTACGACTTTGAAGGCCATGTTAAAGATTTGTATTTTATGTGCACTATGAATCCATTGAACAGAAGTAGAGAAGGAACATAATCTCTTTTAAAACTATAATAGGATCTGTGGAGAAGGGAGTAAGAGAGGGTGGCAAGAATAAGAGAAAATAGACAATTTAGGAGGTAATTGCAGTAAACCAGAAGGCAGGCTTGGTTTAGTGAAGGTGGTTTGGCTTGGTGAAAAACGGGAGTGGGCAAATTCAATAAATATTTCGGTGTTAGAACTTAAACTCATACCGATGGATTGGTTTGGATATATGTGAGAGAGAGATGCCTAGGTTTCTCTGGTTTGATCAGGTAGATAGGCCCATTATTGAGATGCGGAAAACTCGGGAGAAAAACATTTTTTAAAGGGGTAAGAGGTGATTATGGACTGCTAAGTAAGACATGCAAGAAGAGATGTCATGTGGAGATCAGAGGAAAGATGTGGGCTGAAAAATACATATTTGGGACTTAGTATCATATAACTGATATTTTAAGGCAAGAGGATGGACAAGATCACTTAAGGAAAGGGAATACAGAAGGGGGTCTAAAACCAGGCTCTAAGGAACTCTAATGTTTGGAAATTTTATAGACTTGAAACTCGAGGATATTGATGTTAGAGTAGCAGACATCCAACCTTAGCAAAATATTCCTCGTTGAGCTTATTAACTGGAAAGAGGAGTCAAGCCCCACTCACAGTTTAGATAATGTGATGTTAGGAAATTGTAATGTGGGTGGGTGTGTACCTGATATTTAGTATCATAGTTCTCTTAAGTTAAAAAGTTGCCTAAAAAAGTAAAAGTCACCCTAACATGAAGATATTCACTCATGACCTGACCACTTAAAAAGTTAGTTCCTACTCAGATGTCCCTGCTGCTTAACACTAGTTTCTTTTCTGTTAGTTAATTTTGTTACATTCTTGATGTTTCCTATTAGGAAACTATCAAATGCTATATATAAATTGTGATTACAAGCCTCACAAAAGATTCAGGTTTTCATGTAATTTATAAAAGTGAATTTGATAATAATTTGAATTACAAAATCATTGGCAAGTGAGGAAATGCCAGTTAGCCAGTTAATTGAAGACATGACAGGACAGGCATCTTAAAAGAATGATTTTAATATCAAAGGATTAAGAGAAACCCTGAGGAAATTGATGCAATATTATGATAGAATATTATGCAAAAATGACTGATTTTTCTGATCATGCTGAAAAAAATCAAATATATTGAAGGCTAGCCTATGGTGTTCGAATAGAATTTTGCCGGAAAAATTACTCTTAAGAAACTTCCAGTTAACACTTGATTCATTTTTGTGGGTCATTCTAAGAATTAGCCCTTCGCTGTAACTAACCTAAATTTTCTAAAATATTTTTTGGTTCCTTTAATTCAAGATAAAATTCTAAATATTTTAATAAAATATATATTATAAAAGTGTTACTCTTTTTTAAAGTGGATTCACCTTAAATGGCCAGTTATATTCTTTGTTCTCTTTCTTTGTTATATCTAAGGACTTTTGTTAGAGGCTTTGTGGTTTTAGATGGCATATTCAAAAGGAAATTGTGCTGTAATTTCTGATTCTTAAACCAAAAAACCCAAGACAAACCCAGAATTGATGTGACTATTAAATGTTGTACTTTGTTGATGGATTTGCAGTCTGTAAGGCAGGCCGCAAGGTGTGTAAGGGGCAGCAGGCTCTTGAAAGCTGTGGAGGGCTAAGCAAAGAACAGTAGCGATAGTGACTTCAAGTTCAGAGTAGTGTGAAAGGACTTGATGACTTGTTGGTGTTCTGATCATTCACCAAGGCAAATCCATTCAGAGTCTTTTTAGTATCTGAAGTGCAGCATTGAACTGTTAAGTGTCTACAACAACTTGCTTTTTTTTTTAGTTCATTGGAAAATCAGAAATACCTTTAAGCAAAAAAAAAAAAAATTATTTCATATCTGTCTTTTGGCTATTACATTGCTTGTAGGTACTTAAATAAGCAACTAGAGTGAAAGCAGATGAAATACATATTCAACTTGTTAATACATTTATTTAGTGAAGTCTTGAAAGTTATCGTTGGGTTTATCTTAGTTGATTTTAGCTGTGCATGTTATCCCTTTTCCATGAATTTTGTCTTGAGTATTAGCTATTGTAAAATAGTAGAAAGTAGGCTGAAAGATACTTAATTATTAAGGATCCATTTTGAATGTTGTTCTGTGTATTGTTCAGAAAGAGTGCAAATCATCAGTGTGAATTTAATACGTGTCTGTAATTCTAGTAGCTCTGGAGGTCATTAGTACTAGGTTACTATTTCCAAATTTGGCTTTATTGAATTTAATGTAGAGAGCTTGGCTCTCAGCTTCAATTGTACTATCTCCAGTAGCAGTTATACAGCCTATTCATGTTTAAAACATTACTATTTTTAAAAATTACTTTATTTGCATTGCCTACTTTATGGCATCTCCGTTTCTGTCTTTAGTAGGCAAAGGTGAAAGTTTTCGGTATTGTAATATTTTGTTAGACTTGAAAAAAGGTGACTTTTAAGCTTTAAATGGAGTCAGTTCTTTGAAATAATGCTCCTATTTATTACTCATGGGATATGAGTTCATTTATTTCATAGTCAGTAATAAGCAGGGACTTAGAAAGTGTAAGTTGTTTAGACTTAGTTGAAGTACAGAAACCTTACATCTTCCTAAATTACAATTTCCATTACAATGCTGACTAAAAATAAGTCACGTGTACATCTAGAAATGTTATAGCGCAAATATGTTATTGCGTGTTTCTACTACTAAGTGATGTGATAGTTTTTACTATATTCCCAAGTGTTTTTTAGAAAAACTTTTACACTTAAAGGAATAATCACCTTCTTTAAAACTAACTTTAATTTCAGTGCATTATTTAATTTTACAATTGTCAGTGTTAGTTTTGTGTTTTTAGTTTTATTGATTGTCCTGATGTGGATTCAGTTGACTAAATTTACTGAGTGTCTACTTTGCATGCTCGATGGAGATAGGGATAGTTTCCTTTCCTTTTTCTCCTTTTCCCTCTTTTTCTTTTAAAAATTTTTTACAGTTACCGTATTTCGCCCTGTATAATGCCACATTTTTGGCCCAAACTTTCAGGGGAAAAAATCTTCTATTTTAATTTTTTAATTCAAATTTTTATTTGTTTACATTTAGGTACTTTTTTTTGTATTATAAAGGAATTTTAGGATTTGTTTTTTTTAACATTATGATACAAGCAATTTCATATAACAAATAATTACAAAACACAAGAACAGATCTAAGGTACAAGAAATTTTATGTACCAGTAACTAATTTACAATATTTACACATCATAGAAGGCCAAGAACTCTTCGTCGTTGCAAGTTATTTTGCATACAGATATCATTATTGACTTCTACAATTACACTTTTAACTCATAAGCATAAATAAAAGAATTAAAAATCTTTATACAGATACAGAATTAGTACTACCCATGTATAATGCATATTCTTATTTTTCCCTCACAAATTTGGGCAAAAAGTGCACATTCTAAACGGCAAAATATGATACTTTTCAAAATAGAAGTTCTTACCTTGGGCGCATGAAGTTTTTTTTTTCCCCAAAGATTTTTATTAGGGAATTGGGGGAGGGGAACAGCACTGGGGAATCGGGGAAAGGGGAACAGACACGTTGCTGTCCTTTTGTTCTTCAGTCTAGTTGTGGAGGACGTCGCTTCACTGGCCCAAGTTGGCACCATCATTGCGTTCTTCCTGGGCGAGGCAGATCAGTCGCCGGTTTCTGGATGGCCGCTCACAGCAGCTGCTGGCCGCTCACGCTGGCTGCTGGCTACACACGGTAGCCCATGGCAACCCACTGCAGCAGGGGCTGCAGCCTATGCCTTCGCCAGCAATTCCCGGCACCCCAGATCCAGGTTGAGATGTTGTTCAGCATCTTAGCTGTAGAGGGCAGTGTCACTGGCCCTCATATGTGGGATCTGAACCGGGGCCCTCTGGTGTCCCAAGCCACCTCTTAACCAACGTGCCACTCGGCCGGCCCCACATGAAGTTTTATGTTCTATAAACCCCTCTGGAATTATATGAAAAGTTTTATTGTCCACTTTTTTAAAAGGCTTCATGTCTCAAAAAGCACTGCTTTAAGGGTTTATCCAAAGTAGAGGAAATTAGCACTTAAACTTATATAACGTAGCATTCAAAACCGGAATCCAGATACTCAACCCTTGATAATGTTGGGTGTGTTGCTTTAGTACTTGCGGCAGAATAATCTTCAAAGAGAAAAATTAAATAACAACTTTTTCTCTCTCACATAGACAATGAGTTACAAGGCACCAATAGTTCTGGATCATTGGGTGGTCTTGATGTTCGAAGACGAATTCCTATAAAGCTCATCTCCAAACAAGGGAACAAAGCCAAAGCTTCACCTCGCAATCCACGGACCATAAACAGAATGCCTGCAAAGGCTCCCCCTGGTGATGAAGGTAATTTGTTTCATCTCACAGGTCCAAAAGTCCTTTGTATGGGATTCCACCACATAATCCGAGTAATTTTACTTATTGCTAGCTACCTTTTTTAAATCTTACATACTCTCATTTTGGCATGTTTTACTTTTCTGCCCCTTTATAGATATTTTGGTTTAGTTTCTTTTGTTGTTGAAAGGAACACTGCCTATTAAAAATGTAAACAGTATTGCAGAAAGCATAATATTAAAAGTAAAATTGTCTGTCCCCCCCCCCAATTCTCCCCCAATATAATCTCTGTTACAACTTTTGTATACTTTTTTCATATATAACTGCCCTTTTTTCATGGAAGATGCATTTGAGATTTTGCCTTCTCGGTATGTACAGATATACTTCATCGAAGAAAATAAGTTTAGGTATTTCATTTATTAGTATTTCTTCAATTTTTTGTTGTTAAAAACAATGTTGCAGTAAATATCCTTACACATATACCTTAATATGTATACTTTGTAGAATTTAAACTTTGCATGTGGGCATTTTGGAACTTGATGGATACTGTGCATTTTAGAATTTGACAAATGTTGTCAAATGGCTTTTTAAAAACAGTATGTTAGTTTATGCTCCCACACACCAATATTGATGCATACTATTAACTTTAAAAATTTTTGTTTTGATATACATTTTTTTTATGAGTGGGGTTGTATATCTTTTCATATTGTTATTAGTCATTTTGTTTGCCTAGGATCTACCTGTTTATTCTTTTTCCCCCCCGTTTGGTTGTCTTTCTTCTTGATTTTTACGAGTTCTTTGTAAATTAATAAAATTGGCTCTCTCATATATTGTGTGTATTCCCTCCCTTTTCTTGAATTTTATATAGAATATTTTTATTACAGAGAAGCTTGATGATTCTAGGTAGCAAATATCCATTTTTTTCTGTTATGACTTCTGGGTTTTTTTGACATTCTTAGAAGGGCCTTTTCTATATTCTATGAGTATAAAGCAGTTTTCCCATTTTACCCTTTAGTACAGAGTCAGCAGACTGTGGCCTGTGGGCCAAGGCTGATCCTGTTTTTGTAGTTTTATTGGAACGTAGCCATGCCCGTTGAGGTATTGTGTCAGGTTACTTTCACACTTGGATGACATAGTTAAATAATAACAGGGGACATATGGCTTACACTGCCTACAATATTTACTTACCTGGCCTTTTACAGAAAAAGTTCACTGACCCATGCTTTGGAACATTAGGGATATGTATTTGATTATTTAAAAAAAAAGTGGAGCTGGCTTTATTTATTTTCCTTCTAAAACAGCTAGCTATTTACCCCAGCCATTGAATAACCTCTTTCTTTGCTGAATGGGAATCCCACCATTATCATATATTAAAGTTCTACAGGTATTTGTGTCCATTTCTAGATTTGCTATTCTACCCCAGCAATCTGTCTATATTTCTGTTTTTAGAATGAGACTTTAAATATACCTTACATTATGGTTCCTTTTATTACAGGGTTTCTCTCTCCATCTAAACAAGTATAGTTGAAGTCAAATGTTATAAGTCGTAGTTGTAACTTAGGGCTGCTGCTGCACTAGACTAGGGTCAGTAAACTAGGGCTCCCCCTTTCAGCCTTTTTGTTCTTTAAATCGTTTTTTAGAACTATACAGTAATATATAAATAAATGCTTGTAATAACCCAAACAATGCAAAAAAGTTCAAGTCCTTCTTATACCCTTTTCCTCTCAGGTGTCCCTTCATTCCCTGCCTCCCCCTGCCCCAGCCCACACCCCTTCCTCGAGGGTACTACTGTTACCAGTCTCTCTCTTAATAGAGCACACTTAGGCTGAAGATAATCTTTGGATACATTAGATTCACCTATTTGGGGTAAAAAATATATATATTTTGATTGGGTTTTTTTCCCGTAGGCATTATTGAAAATAAGGAATTTGGGGTGCTTTTATGGTATCTGTCTAATCTATGGTTTAATGATGGATGGGAGTGCAGGTTTGAACTATGAAAAATGATAATGTGCTCCTAATTTCCTTGGCTTTTGTTCTGTTCAGTAGTATTTTGAGTTTTAGACAAATAAGAAAAATGGAGTATTAGATGACAACCAGCTTTTATAAGGTATGAATGGACCATATAAGAACCTAGGGTCACTCAAATGCATCACTGTGTGTGTCCATGTCCCCGTCCATCTTGTCGCTATCTGTCGTGTGTGTGTGTGTGTGTGTGTGTGTGGTGTCTGTCCATCTGTCCACCTCATTCCCGTCTGTCTTGTATCTGTGTGTTCGTACACAGGGTCTGTAATTTAGCCATGGGGGTAAAGTTAAAACTTGTGTGCTTTGCTACTCCGTTTACCAGTTCTAGGGCCAAAAGAGTTGTGAGAAGCCTGGCACTTTGGAGGGATAGATTGTCCTCTCAACTTTACTTTAGTTAATTGGATTCTACCTAGAATCCCATCAGACTGGTCACTGGTTTTCTGTTCTTTTGTATGGGATGAGAGGATTACAATCAACCTTTTAATTAGGTCAGAGAAATTGAGCCCATTTAATCCTCATACTGTTTTAAGTTTACTGATACTGACATATGCAGCATAGGGGAGGATACTTGTAAGTAGATACGATATGGCTTCTTATGTTTGGGTGATTAACCAGGGAGAGGTTTCAATTGAAAAGATGAAGTATCAATATGTGGATGTTTCTAAAATCAGGCTGAGCCTAAGGCTAAAGAAGAGGATACCTATTTTACTAAGTCATAAGAAGGAAATCTACAGAATTCTTTATGTTTCATTATATTCTTTTGGCCTCTTGCAGCATGATACCACTTTGTAGATAGATTTGAATAAATGGTGATCAACATCTTAAAATTTTGTGTAGCAAGCATGATGGTAATTGGTAGTTTTATACTGGAACTAGTTGGATGAGTAATGAGCACTTGAGTGGGCATGAAGAGAGCTGAGGTCTGTTCTGAGCTCTGCCACTTACCTTCTCTGTGTTGTTACTGTGGGTCTCCTTACTCTAGTATTCCCAGTTGTGAAGTAAGAGAGTTGGACATGATCACCGAGACCACTTCTAGCTCATGTTTACACTAGTCTTGATTATCTTGTTCTTACAAGAGCTTTGAAGAGCATCAGTGAATAGGCCTATTTTACCATGTACATGTACTTCCAAAATGAAATTTGAGATAAGAGAAGTTAATAGATAACTCTTTTTTTCCTCAGAAGGATTTGATTATAATGAAGAAGAACGGTATGACTGTAAAGGGGGTGAACTGTTTGGAAATCAGCGAAGATTTCCTGGACACCTTTTTTGGGACTTCCAGGTATGACTAAAATAAAAGCATTTATTAGAACAATTAAAGTATTTTAAATATTTTATTAGAACAATGCAGAATATACAAAGAATGGTATGAACTTTTATTATAGTTATGTCTCTTGGCACACGTAATTCATTTGTTTATTAATGCCCTACTTCTGTTTCCAAAAATACTTTGAAGCTATTTTCAGTAAAGTCAAGTAAAATCAATAAATGTTAATACTATTTAAGAAAAAAGAAACACCAGAAAAAAGTAGCACAGCCAGTGGTGTGGGATATGTAAGGATACCAAGAAACCTTTATTTCTAATTGTTTTAACAACACTTATAAAATGACATTTAATTCATTGTGTAAATTATAGATATGATTTTAGAAATGCTTAAAATGGAAATTTTAATTATATCATTTCAACAGATAAACATCCTAGGTGAGAAGGATGATACACCAGTTCATTTCTGTGACAAATGTGGATTGCCTATTAAGATCTATGGACGAATGGTAAGTACAATTAAATTAAATTCTATTTTTGTAAATGTAAACATTTATGTAGTGGTAGGATTCTGACATTTAAGCAGATAGGATTCTGACATTTAAGCAGATAGGTTTATCACTGTTTAATAACTAATTCTGTGACATTTTAAATAAGAAATAGCTAAGGGAAATTTTGGAATAATACGCATTTAATATAGTTATCTTGACAAAGTCTTGAATTGTTTGCAAAGTATTAATTAAAGGAACTAATTCCTGAAAGCCAAATAATTTCTTTGGACTGTTTGATGCCTGTTAGTTTATATTTATTCTAGTTTATTAAGGACAATTTTTTTGTTGTTTAATAGAATAAAATAAGTTATTCATTTCTCAAGGCTATAATTTTTAATGTAAAACTGAATTAATAAATAATATTTTTTATTTTTGAGAATTGAATTCTAATATTTAAAAAAAATTACAACCCTAACTGTAATTTTATAGTAATTTTGACGTATCCTCCTTTAAAAAAGGTAGTTTTACAATTGTGTTTGAAAAAAAGAAATTGAATTTAGTAATATATGTCTGTGATAGTAGAGGGCATTGATTGTACACTATTGCTTTGCTGTATAATGTAGCTAAATAACAAGAATGGCTATGAGTGTTAAATGGCCTAACATCATTTTACTATGTCTTGATTTATTTTTATAAGTTTGTGAACTTAAGGCTACCTGGGGCAAATGCTGCTTATGTTAAATCTAGGAAAAATTTGTTATCTTACTGCTCTGGAATAGTTTCAGGAGGAACAGGATACGATCAAACATGATTACAGTATTCTTTTTCAGAGGCTTTTGACTTGTAAGGACCATGGATGAAATTTATAGGGTTTACGCCTTCAGAAAGTATTAAGCGAATGAACATCTATATATTTATTGGGGAAAGGGCCAAAGTTTTCATCACATTCTTAAAGGACTTTATGACTTAAAAAGCTAATGATTGCTTTTATATAATGGTACTTACTAATTGTTCATTTTAACAAACAGTTCTCAAGTGTCTTCTCTGTCTAGCTCACTGTTCTTACTGTTATTTTTTTTTTTTGAAATATTTTAATTTGTTTTTGTATGCTTAACTGTAATACATCTCTTCACAGATTCCATGCAAGCATGTTTTTTGCTATGACTGTGCTATTTTACATGAAAAAAAGGGAGATAAGATGTGTCCAGGGTAAGATCATCATTTTTAAATAATAAAAGTTTGTGATTTTTATAAATAATACAATTTATAATCTTGTTTTAAGGTCAGAGGGGATGTAACCAGTGGCAGGCTGTATAGGCATGGCTACCCTTTCTCTGAGCCCCGATTTGGCCTTAGCCTTCTCCTAGGATAGGACCAGGTAGTTGCTATCAGTCAATTCAAATTGGCCAAAATGACCAAATATATTTGCTGTCACAAAATTTGTGTTATAAGCCAAAAACAGTTATTTTGTTGTTTTGATGGGGCAATAGACAGGTAGCGTTGCATAGTGACTGAAAGCAAAGACTTTGGAATTAGAATTCCTGGGTACAAATCCCTGTTCTGCCATTTATTAGCTGTGTGAATATAGACTGTTTCTTCATCTGTAAAATGGAATTAATAATAGTACCTACCTCCCTGGGTTATTATTAGAGTTAAATGAGAAAGGGGGGGAAGAGAAAATACTATATATGAGTATAAGCTCTTATTTCTTACCTTGAAATCTGATTATTATGTGTTGAGTGTATTTTAGAACACCATCATGGCATAGACTCAGACAAGTTACAAAAATCTAGAGGTATTGGTCGATAATGATCTATATTGGTAAGGTCTTGAAAGTTCCAGATTAAACTAGGAAGTTTTATATCAGTGTAGAATCCCTGACAGAAGGCTTGGGAAAGCTTTGAGAGAAACTTCTCTTGTCCTAGTTCCTTCTAACCTGTGCCAGAAGCTATCCCGACCCAAGAGTTGTAGCGTTGGTTGATATCAAAGCTCTGGACGATTGTAAGGGATGGTTTCCTCTTATGGTATAGGAATTCTGGTGTCACTAGGAGAGGAAGGATGATTCAGTGACAAAGCATTAAAAACAAGTTGTGGCGTATTTTTATTAGCCCTTGAAAGTCACATGTTGTAAAATCTGTAGTGTGAGTTTAAAGAATATTTCTTCCCTAGAATTATATTTCAGAAGAATTGGGATATTAAAAGTGCATATTCGCTAGTTTGCCTAACTTCCTCTAATGCCTAATTTTCCAATACAGTGCACATTCACTTTAAATTATGTAGTAAATTTGATTACTTTATTGGAATAAAGGATTTTAGATGTTGTAAAACAGTATGGTAGAGTACATTAGAAGGTTTTCTCTTTTGTATGTGTTCTAATGTTAATATTTAAGAGGGAATTTAATTTTCAGAGTAACTCCAGTTAGCACCTCCCTGGTTGGTCCTGAGCTATTGAGGACCATAAGACTGTCTGCATTAAGAGACCCAGGTCAGAAAGTGAAGACCTGGCAATCCAAGTTAACATAAATATTACATAGTACTATTACTCATCACCCGAAAGAAAGTGTCCCACATCCTGCTACTGTGGAGATATTTCTGAATAAGAAGCAAAAAATAGGAAGTGTGCCAAAAGGCCACTAAAAGGAAGCCTGCTAATATCAAGAAGGAGTGTCAGCCTTACATCAAGGGTGGAAATACAGACACAGCTCAAAAACCAAGAATCTAGAGCCATTTAATATAGTATCACATGACCTGACATACATATTTAATGATGATAGCTTATATTTATACATATATAGTGTTTAGCTAATGTTTAAATACTATCATTTTCATTGTTCCGTTGATTTTAAGGATACTCTTTTAAGTAGGGCGAGGTAGGTATAAAAACCTTGTGAGTTAGGTAGAGTAGGTGTTTTAACCCATTTTACAGATGAAGAAACAGACATATTAAATGCCTTCCCCAAGATTACAGAGCCAACACTAGATCCCAGTTCTCCTGGTGCTTAGTTCAGTCCTCTCTCCACTATTTCAAGAAGACTCTAAAGGCAAGAGTAGATTAAATATATTGAATGAAAAATAATTATAATTTTGACCCTAAGTCATTAAGAAAATACTGAGTTAAATTTAGTATGTACAACTTGGAAAGGTAGGAGTGTGTGATACCTCCGAGTAGTAAATTTGACCAACAATTCAGAAAGGTCCCTTCCATAAGGAACTCTTGATAGCCAGGGTTTGAATTTAAATTGCTTATGTTGTTTAATATTAAGAACTCTGATGATTAGGATGCTCTTGTTTTTGTAGTCCTTGCAGTATCTTCTATTGCCTCTCTTCCACTTAGTTTTATTTGTGGAATAAATAAATACTATGGTTCAATAATAAATTTGAATTCCATGGTTGTGACAGATCCTTTGGTTTTCTTTTCTGGGCTTTTTTGCAAATATGCAAAGCATAAAATTGTTTGAGAAAATTATATACATTCTAGGTCTTGGGAAGAATAAGGTCATTTCTTAAAAACACTCTGATACACTTTCAATTTTTTTTGTAAGAGCTCTGAGGTTGACATAAATGCTAATGCTTAATAGCAAACAGACAACAAAGTGGGAAAGTTAAAGATTCACTTACAGTAACTATTGTGAGCTTTTGCAATATTTTCCATAACAAATTTAAAAAATAAGCCTATCTTTGAAATTAAGTGCATTATTTTTAGTGTGTTTTTAGTAAACCCAATTTTTCCCCCTTTGATTTAGCTGTAGTGATCCTGTGCAGCGAATTGAGCAGTGTACACGAGGTTCTCTCTTCATGTGTAGCATTGTTCAAGGGTGCAAGCGAACGTACTTGTCTCAGAGAGACTTGCAGGCTCACATCAACCACCGCCATATGAGAGCTGGAAAACCCGTTGCCCGTGCTTCGCTCGAAAATGTTCATCCTCCTATTGCCCCACCACCAGCCGAAATCCCTGATCGTTTTATCATGCCGCCAGACAAGCATCACATGAGCCATATTCCGCCAAAACAGCACATCATGATGCCACCGCCTCCTTTGCAGCACGTGCCGCACGAGCACTATAATCAGCCCCACGAGGATATTCGTGCTCCTCCCGCAGAATTGTCCATGGCTCCACCTCCACCTCGTTCGGTCAGTCAGGAAACCTTTCGTATTTCAACAAGGAAACACAGCAATTTAATAACTGTCCCCATTCAGGATGACTCCAACTCAGGTGCTAGAGAACCACCACCTCCTGCCCCAGCACCTGCTCACCACCACCCCGAGTATCAGGGCCAGCCTGTGGTGTCGCACCCTCATCATATCATGCCTCCACAGCAGCATTACGCACCTCCTCCCCCACCCCCTCCTCCAATAAGCCATCCAATGCCACACCCGCCCCAGGCCGCAGGTACTCCTCACTTGGTTTACAGCCAAGCTCCACCTCCTCCAATGACCTCTGCTCCTCCGCCAATAACCCCTCCCCCAGGACATATCATGGCCCAGATGCCACCTTATATGAACCATCCTCCTCCGGGACCTCCCCCACCTCAGCATGGTGGTCCACCTGTAACTGCACCCCCACCTCACCATTACAACCCTAACTCTCTACCCCAGTTCACTGAAGATCAAGGAACTCTGAGCCCTCCATTCACACAGCCAGGGGGCATGAGCCCTGGCATATGGCCGGCACCCAGAGGGCCGCCGCCACCTCCACGAATGCAGGGCCCGCCTTCTCAAACCCCACTGCCTGGACCACATCATCCAGACCAGACAAGATACAGACCGTATTACCAGTGAAGAGAGCATGTTGAACTGAAGAGAGGAGAAAGTACCTATGTATAGTCAATCTTTTAATTAAGCTTTGACTGTTTGGGGAAGGAAAACGCCTCTTATTGAGGTGGCTCTAAAACACTTAGGGTCTTCTCTCTTAAAATGGTTTTAAAGCTACACCTTAGGATTAATTTCAAGTACTATACTGTAGTGCAGATAAGTGGCTCAGTGGAGCACGGCTATATTTTAACAACTTTGTTCCTGTAGTGTGGTAAATTGACCCAGAGGTGACCATTTGTAAAAAATTTGAAATAAGTTTTTCATCGTTCCACTTTTCAAAAGTATTGCTTTTGTTAAACCCTGTTTAGTTTTTCTTGTGATACATTTTGTTAACCTGTGTAAAAGGATTAAATTTCAATATGGTTGTAAAAATGCTATTTTTATGTGACTTTAAGTGCAGCCACATACTGTTTTTTAAAACCATATGTTTTACCACTAATTTCCCAAAGTTACAATAAAAACCTAAAAGTAAAAATCTACTAGAATTTACTGTAAGGCAGACTGTTAAATGGTAGAGAATGATTTCACATTTTAGGCACTGAAATTTTGAGGTATATGAAGTATATAATGCACTTCACTTGGAGGCCTTTTCATCTTCAGGCAGCCTCAGGAGCACCAAAATACATTGAAATTCCAGACTAAAACCTGTTTGTAATATTAAAGGGCATTACTAGTTATTTGAAAAGATACAACCAAAGTCATTGACTCTACAGGCTCCAAGCTGTTGGGGGATAGATACTGTTATTCATTAATGCTTTTTACTGAATGGTTGGAATCATGATTCACTACACATTAATCTTAAGTAACATTATTTTATAGAACTGTTTAAATGGTGTTCTTTAGATGAAGTGTGTTCCACTTTGCTCATTGTCTTAAACTAAATATTTAGGGCTGAATGGGCGTTATGTAATTACTCAGTTCATGGTAGAGTTTGATCCTGCGCCTTAAGTGGGGTCTTGTTTCTTGGGTTTTCATTTACAATTGGAATGCCATGGAGGGATTTTGAATACTGTATGAATGAAAGACATTCCTGTAGTCACAAACTGGCATTGCCCAGATTTCGCTACTGTGTGTAAGGGTTCTTCTAACTTGAAATTTAAAAACTATTGATGATTTCCTTTTTCTTTTACTGGTTAAGCAGTCTTAACGCTTGGGACATGTTAGCGTGGAGTCAACAGTGAAGACTACCAGATGATTTTGTATGGGCCAAGAGAAAAGCAGTGACTAAGTTGTGAATTTCAGTGCTTTACAAGGTGCCTTTAGAGTCAGCTTTTGCATTATAGGGCTTGTTACAGTCCAGCTAAGATGACCACTTACAGTTTCTACAGAACTGATATGTACAATTCAATATTCTTAGGATATTGTATATCCTTTGAATAAACCCCTGTGAAGTATTTTCCTCCCCCACTAAAATGGTGCATAATATAAACATGAAATGTGTAGTATGCAGATATCATTTATTAAATAGTTTGTAGTGTATAAATTTAGAACATTTCTTTTTGACAAAGGGTGAAATGATTGCTAATTTACCATTTAATTCTGTCAGGTACAGGCAAAATAACTTCTCATCTTGGATAATCAGATGCAAAGTCATCTGAACTTAGAGCTGAAGTTAGAAATAATATAAATGGCCATTTAAACCATGACCAGTCAAAAAAACTAATACACTTTTTTTAAGTTAAGTGGTTTTTCACACTTAACAATTTGAGAGTCCGGTGTTAATGTAATATTTCTAATGAGAAATTTTTGTTATTAGAAGCATGGGAGTGAAATAGTGTGAAAAGTTGGTGAGTACTTCTATCATATTACTGTAGGTACTTGGACTGGTGCAAACTTGATTCCCTTTCATGCCCCTTTTTAGGAGCTGTTAAAATATTACTGTTGAAATCCAATACCATTCTTTGTTTCATGTAATACGAAAATAGCCAAATTCACTCTAGAGCTTCTCAGCTATTTGTGAAGAGCTCTTCTGTTTTTATTGAAATTCGCTAGAGTTGATTGTGGTACAAAACCACTTAGCCTATGTATTGGACAAAAAATTAGTATGCTAAAATTCCACATGTTAAGAGAATTCTCGTAGGCTTTTTAAAAAATGATTATTTTCAGTTAGGTTTAAGAAATGTAATGCAGAAAGGCAGATCAGATGAATTTTTAGCAGACAACATTTTAAAATGGTGACCTGAATTCATCCAGTTATTGTTTGAATGAAGGTGGGTGGGAAGAAGGATAAAAAAAAAAAATCACTGTTCGTGTTTCTTTCCTTAAAGAAAAAGATGTGAATCCCAGCGTTATATCAGGGAAGCCTTTGAATCTATGATGGACATAAGTCTAAATTAAATGTATGTATGTTTCATTATATTGCTCTTAAGACTACTGAGGTGGCAGTTTAATTCTTAAAAACAATAAAATGGAAGCATAAATACTATTTTGCCTAAATGAGTTTTTACCGAATGATGACATTGGGGAGAATGCAGAATTTTTCCATGCTTATGTTGGTACAACTTTTACAGTAAAATTAGATTCACTTTTTTGGGGATTAAAACCCACAAGTTGAATGTTAAATTTCTTCAGTGGCATGCTTGTCCAGTGTTATATATAATATTTGGGGAAATCGTTGCAACGACCATAAGCAACTATATCCATTTTGCCCTGTAAAAACCACTGGTTCAAAATTATCGTGTAAATACTAATGAGATTCCACTGAAATATAAATGGGAAAGCTAGTTGAACATATTTTTAAACTCACAACAAGTGAAGGAACGTAGGCTGTGTTCTGACTAACATACTGGAAGAGTGTCTTTCATACATCTTTTTGAAAAAGCCCTACCATAACATTTTGTGCAAGTCCCATTGTAAGTACATGGAAAAAACTCAAAAGTACCTAAAACAAAAATATACTTTTCTAGTGATCTTAAGATTAGCCATCAGATTGGTATATTGATATTAATTGAAGTTAGACAATCATTCAGATATTTTCTGAAGTAGATCTTTCACTGGTTTGTAACTGTAATCTCTTAAATTGTGGCCTCGAAACCAAGCACAATTTATGCACAATCTAATGAAGCAATATTGGATATGCTAGGCTGAAAGGGAGGGAGCATAAACCAGCTAAGATACTTGGTAGTGATACTAATAAAAACATTTGGATTTTCAAACATTTTTTCGTTTTCATTTATGCTCCTTTAATTTCCCATTGAGGGAAAAAGTGTTACAGCAGAATTTTTTTTTTACTTTTAAAATTTTTTTTCAGTTTTTTTTTTTCCAATTATAGTTGACAGTATTTTAGATTAGTTTCGAGTGACAATACAGTGGTTAGGCATTTAAATAATTTATCAAGTGATCCTCCCGATTAGCCTGGTACCCACCTGGCACTAAACACAGTTATTAACAATATTATTGACTATATTCCCTATGCTGTATTTTACATCCCCATGACTAATTTGTAACCACCAATTTGTATTTCTTCATCACTTCACCGTTTTCACCCTGCCCCCAACTCCCTCCCATCTGGTAACCATCAATTTGTTCTTTGTATCTGAGTCTGTTTCTGTTTTGTTTGTTTATTTTTAAGATTCTACATATAAGTGACATCATATGGTATTTGTCTTTGACTTCACTAAGCATGCATAAATACCCTCTAGGTTAAGGCAGAATTCTTAAAGCAATATTTTAGTGTTAAAGTTTAATTTTCCCATCTCCTTATCTTTAAGAATTACACATTTTTAGGCATTACAGAATCAAAGGAATGAAACGAACAATGATAGGTTGTGGGTTTAGCTCTCACACTTTGACAGGACCATGTCCTTTAAAAATCTAGAATTTTGAGGGCCGGCCGAGTGGTGTGATGGTTAAGAGCTGGCTTGGGACGCCAGAGGACCCTGGTTCGGATCCCACATATGAGGGCCAGTGACACCGCCCTCTACCGCTAAGATGCTGAACAACAGCTCAACTTGGAGCTGGGCTGCCATGAGTCGCGAGTGACAGCGTAGGCTGCAGTCCCCTGCTGCAGTGGGCTGCTATAAGCTACCATGTGTAGCCGGCAGCCAGCAGCCGCAGTGAGCGGCCGTCCAGAAGCCGGCGACTGATCTGCCTCGCCCAGGAAGAGCGCAATGATGGTGCCAACTTGGGCCAGTGAAGCAACGTCCTCCACAACTAGACTAAAGAACAAAAGGACAGCAACTTACCTGTTCCTCTTTCCCCAATTCCCCACACTGTTCTCATCCCCCCAATTCTACAATAAAAATCTTTAACACTTCAAAATGCTAGATTTTTGAAAAATCTACTCTGAGCTCAGAATACCCCATTTCTATTCTAAGTTGCAAGCACCAGGTTTCATATTGCATTTAAGCCCATTTGTATTAAGCTACCATTAAAATTGTTCTCCCTTTGCCTTCAGATTGAAAAATACTCTTCCCTTTTACTTTTCTTCCTAAGCGTTACTTTCAAAACCTTTAATTTTTTGTTTTAAATTTTGTACTCATTTCAGTTATATAAGTAATACTTCTTTTGGAAAAAAAAATGTAATATTACAAATAAAGCTAAAGATCCCCTTGACCACTGTTGAAATGAACATTTCCCTTCCAGAGATAAGGACTATTATAACTTTGGTGTGTATATCTATTTAATCATTTTAGTTACAGAGCTGACAACGAAATAGGCTCCATGCTCTGTGTAAGCATCCTAATGCATGATAAATGTAGTATTTCATGGTCTATACTCAATAAATATATACTGAGGGCTGGTTGAGTGGCGCATTGGTTAGGAGTTGGCTTGGGACGCCAGCTCTGAGCAGCAGTGCCCTCGGTTCGGATCCCACATAAGAGGGCCAGTGACGCTGCACTCTCTGTACAGCTAAGGTGGTGAACAACAGCTCAACTTGGAGCTGGGCTTCCATGAGTCGCCGGCGACGGCGTAGGCTGCAGTGGGGCTGACCAGCAGCTGGTATGAGCTGCTGTGAGCCGCCATGAGCGGCTGTCCAATGGCCATCGAGCGACTGCCTCACCCGGGAAGAGCGCAATGATAATACCAACATGGGCTAGTGAAGCCACGTCCTCCACAACTAGACTGAAGAACAAAAGGACAGCAGCTTGTCTTCCCCTCCCCAATTCCCCAACACTGTTCCCCTCCCCCAATTCTCCAATAAAATCTTAATATAAAAATTAATATATACTGAGCACCTACTGTGTGGGAAATAAACATTCAATCATTCATTCATTCATTTATTCATTCTGGTATTCAAGTGCTAGACACCAGTCTGAGCACTTAAGTTGCATTGTCTTTAGAGACAGAAGATGAACAACTTTTATTAAAATGTATTAAGTGTGATAAAATCCTATAGAATAAGAGAAAACTCAGGATAATCGGGTCGTGGTAAGTTTGCAACTTTAAATAGAGTTGTTTGGGTAGAACTTATTGAAAAGACATTTGAGCAAAGATTTGAAGTAGGTGAGAGCCATATGACAACGTGGGGCGGGACTTCCCAAGCAGAGGACAGAATGTAAAGGCCTTAAAAGGGGTTGCACCTGGGATATTCGGAAACAGTAAGGCCATTAGAGTGGAATGAGTGAGATGAGTAGTAGTAGGAGGTCAGAGGAAATAACAGAAGGAATCGGGAGACAACAGGCTTTCTAGGCCATCAGAAGACTTTGACCTTAAGACTCTGACATGGAAGACATTGTGGTGTTCCCAGCGAAGGAGTGACATGATCTGGCTCTTGAAAAGATTGATTATTCTGGCTGTGTGCTGAGAAAAGATGAGGGAGGCAAAGATAGACCAGTCAGAAGGTTGCTTTAATAATTTCCACAAGACCAGCATAGGTATCAGGAAGTAAGTGATTTGTGGAAGGGTGTATATGTATGCATACACACGTACATAAATATGTATACAAATGATATATAAGTATATAAGATAAAATATAAATATAAATTTATATATATATAAATTAAGCACTTACATGCTTTGCATGGATATATAATGATGAGCAAAATAGATATGGTCTCTGCCCTTAGGAGCTTACATTCTAACTTATCTAGGAATTGTTCGTGGTGGTCATCCCTAAATTTTTCTCAAAAAAATTTCTCATATTCTTTTTCAAAGTATAGTGCCCAGGGAAAAAATATTACATTTAAAAATGTATTACCAAAATACACAACTATAATGAGGGGGAAATATTAAATTCATTTAATTCTGGACAATAATATATTTTCTGATAGCTTTTCTGGGTACCTTTATTTCCACAACGCTGAGTTAGTGACACTGGAACAAATCTGTAGAACTGCACCTATATTGTTCTTGAGTTTAGTCCTGCCTTGTACTAGATCAGTTTTTAGACAGGTTTTAATTTCTCCTGGGAGTTAATATTTCCTGATGTTAAGATCCTGGGCTCTGGAGTCGGACTGTCTAGCTTGAATTCTGGCTGTGCTACCTGCAACTATGTAACTTAGGCTAATTAGTTATCCTCTTTGAGCCTTGATTTATTTTGCTTTCCTAAAAAATGGGGATAAACATAGTGCTTACCTTATGAGGGCTATTTTGAGAATTAAATGAATCGATTCTAGGTCTACTTTAAAGGTAGAGTAAATAGAACTTCCTGACAGCTTTCAACCTGAGCATCTGGAAGGATGGAGTTGGCATTAACTGAGGTGGAGAAGATGCTGGTTGAGCAGATCGGGTGATCAGTAGGTCAGTTTCAACATGTAAACATCCCCCTGAAGATGGCAGGAAAATGGATGAAATATTCCTCTTCTCTGTCCTTGTTCAGGCAGTGTAAAATCAAGCTTGCAATTAAAACACTTGCACATTTCTAAGTGGTAAATTACTGTGTTTAAACAAGATACCAAATGCTAGAATAATTATTAGAAAATGATTTTACAGATAAACTGCCCAACATGTATTAGCTTCAACCTTTCTTAATTTCAGTAATGGATCTGTCTTCACAAATTGTTGCATCACTGGATAGCTTCTCCCCTTCCATCTTGCTCTGGTTTATATAAGTTTTATTTTTATCTTCCAACATGATGTCTTGGACTCTTCCTAAATCAGGGATTCGATTTTTGTACTAGTCAATTTCCAGTATTTACTCTAAGGCAGGCAAGTAGAAGCCCAGCCCCATGTATTCCCATGACCCAAAGCATATCCACCTTAGAGGCCTTGGAGAAAAAACATTTAAGGGTGAAGACAGGTGAACTTCTAAGATATTAAAGTTGAACGGACTGATGGGAGCATGATAATTGGACTGCTTGTCCCACTCTGGTATTTTGTTTGGCAAGAAGAGTGTAGTGGGCACCTTTGCTTGGGAAGAAGCAGACATCAGTGGCAATCTTACATAAGGCTTTGCCCCACTCCCAAGCCAAATGGTCAGTTACATAGACTCATGTTTTTATTTCTGTTCCCTGCCCTCTATAGAGGATGAGCTGTTAACCTGACGCTGTTGTAGGGCATCATATATATGTGTATGCGACGTCTGACAATTAAGTTCGCAAACTTGTTGCAACCATGTTGCTAACCTTTTTTTGATATCAGAGGGATTATTCATTATGCATTTGTACCAACTGGACAGTTAACCAAATTTACTATTTGGAAGTGCTGAAAAGGCTGCATGAAAAAGTTAGATGACCTAAACTTGTCTCCAACAATTCATGCCTCTTGCATCACAACTATGCACCAGCTCACACAGCACTGTGAGGGAGTTTTTAGCCAGTAAACGAATAAATGTATTGGAATACCCTCCCTACTCACCTGATCTGGCCCCCAATGACTTCGTTGTTTACCCGGAGATAAAGAAAATATTGAAAGGAAGACATTTTGATGACATTCAGGACATCAAGGACATACGACGACAGCTCTGATGGCCATTCCAGAAAAAAAGTTCCAAAATTGCTTTGAAGGGTGAACTAGGCGCTGGCTTCGGTGCATAGCTTTCCTAGGGGAGTATTTTGAAGGTGACCATAGTGATATTCAGCAATGAGGTATGTAGCACTTCTTCTAGGATGTGTTCATGAACTTGTCTGACCATGTATATTTTTCCTCTAAAACCCTTAGGGTGCATGAGGCTCTGTAAGGCGTCCATTGGCGCCTTAAGAAATGTTGCTATCAAGAGTGTTGATTTTCTGGTTTTAATTAAGAGTAGCTGTGTAAATAAACATTTATTTTGCTTTTTTGTAATTGATTTTAAAGTCCAATGGACAAGCCCCCCAGTAAAGACACTAATAGAAGATGGAAGGGTACTTTGACAATAAACATTTAGAGGTGAGATCTAAACTGGGACAACAGTTCTCACTGACAAAGTGGTTTGATGTTGAACAGAGGGCACTCAATATTTTTCTGTTGGTGCTGATGTTTCATTTCTAACTATTACATAAAATAAATACAAAGTTGCACCAAGAACAGTGAAAAAGAGAAGCATGTGTGCTGAATGTCACTCACTAGCTAAACTGAGCTGTTACTCTGCCCTGTGAGTTTCAAACAATGATCAGCAGTGAAGAAAGAGTCAGACTTTCTTCTACTATATTTTCTTTCCTCCCTTAAGACCAGGAAGAACTGGCTACCCATCATGTGTTCTCTTTACTTTTCACCTTCTTGCCTTTTCAGTTTTTATCTCCCATTAGCTTATACAATTTTCATACTAAGAGGAAAAAATAAGGATTTGCTGCAAAAGCTAGTTGTAGAAGTATTGTGTCTAAATCTGGATAGGAGGTTGGATGTTTTAAAAAGCTATAGTGATTGTATGTCAACTATAAGAATATATATATATATATATATATATATATATAGTTACGGGAGGTGGATATATAGCATAAGTTGTAACAGTTATATAAGATGTCAGAGGGGTAGTAGTTTGGGGGAGAGGGGTTATCACTTTGTGAGGGATGTAAATGTCTAACTATTATGTTGTTTTGTACACCTGAAACTAATTTGAAAAGTAACAATAATTTAAAAAAACAGCTATAGTGATAATCATAAAATCTGGGCTAAGAACCTTCATTCGAGGGGGTTTAGAAGATTCTTGTGTAGGAGGTTTCTAGCCCGACCACTATAAAGTGGACTCACAGCAAGCATGTTTCAGAAAGCAAACGAATAACAACACAAGACATATCTACTGTATACAACTGAATTTTTTTTTAAGTGGAGACATACAAGTATGGGCAGTATAAATGACAAGATTCAAAGCAGTGGTGTAAATACACTGTAAAACGTGCATGAAGATAGTGACTTGGATGGAAATCTGTCAGTGCTATAAAAATACATATAAACAAAAACATTTTCTTCCTTTGATAAATCTACAAGCTATAAAATTAAGAGTATTTACATAATTTTATACTAGATATGTGAAAAATATACCATGCTAGAACAATCTCGTTCCAAAGTTTGAAACATAATTCTGTCAAAAATATTCTTCATACAATGCATGATATCAATAACCTTCTGGGCATAAAGTTGTTCTATGTGTGACAGTCAGATGAGGCTCCCTTTGAATTATATTTTAATTAGAATTTTGTTTCATCTGGTACCTGAAAGAAGACAGAAAGTTCTTGTTAGAAAAGACTTGTTAAGTTCTATCCCTTTCTGTAATCATAGCTTGTATTAAAAAGGAGTTGCCAATCTGATTAAAATTAGGAGCTAGCGTTTGTCACAGTCATCAACATTTTTTTTGTCTTAAATTGTAACAATCAAATACCTCCTATTGCTACTTGGTTAACATAGAACCGTGTGATACCATGTTGTAATATAAGTATCTTTCAAAGGCCTATTTTAACTTAAAATAACAGTACAATGCATTGTAGCAATATATTTCTTCACATTTGTTTCAGGGGCCACACAAGCTCCAAAGAGCTATGTGTGTTGGCCAGACACATTCAGCTTTTACATGAATCACCACTGGTGGCCTATCCATAATTGCTGATTTATCTTCTTTCTAAGAAATCCAAGGAGCTGCTGTTAAATGTTTCTTCCTTTAAATATGGGGAAACAGGTACAGGATGGTACTGACTACATTTTGTTAGATAGTTGGTTCTAAAGCTTTGATCAGACATCAGGTTTAAATTCTGTTCCTATTCTTTATCCTCTAAAAGTTGGTGAAAATCCTGAATCCAACTACTGGGCAGAGGGTTTCTGGTAAAGCTCTCTTTACAAGGGGTTTGGGCAAGGTGCTGGATTTGGGTGTTTCTGGAATCCAGCCCTGGAAACAGAATCACGATGCACTTCTCAGCTCTCCTCTCACCTCAGGTCTATCTACCTTTCTGGCATGGCTTTTCCATTTAACCTTTTTAAATATAACTCTTAATAATGGTTCAGGGTTATCTTATGCTACACATTTCTTTATTTCTCATCTAAATTCCTTTTGCTATTCTTAAATCTTTCTTCAAATAAGAGAAATACCACCAGTCACCTCCCATATTTGAAGACAATCATTAGATTCTTTCTCAGGACCCTCAGTTCCATTAGTCTTTCATCAAAGGATGGAGCCAGTATAGTACAGTGAACACAGCACAGGTCTTGGCATCAGACAGATCTTGGTTCAAATCCCGTTGCTGTTACCAAGGTGACAGCAAATTGGTTGAGCTGTCTGAGCCCTTCCTAGTTTCCTCATTTCTGAAATGAAAAGATCTTCGCATATGGTTGTATGGATTGAGATAATGAATGTAATGTACTTGCCGTGTCCCTGGCCTAAAACAGATACCCACTTTGTGGTTCTTTCCCAAACTATAGGCATTCCCTTAAAGGACTGAGTGTTCTACAAATGAATGTTCTAAAATGAAATGTGACTATCTAGTTAAATGATGATTTGGCAACTCTTTCTCGTATGGAAGGAAAGGAACTTGACTTGCATTACTGGGTAGACACTGTGCTATGTACTTCCATCACCTGGGAGTCAGACCGTGTGCATTAGCTCCTCAGCCCCATCACTAATTCACCTATAAATGGAAATAGCAATGTTGCCCTACCTCATGGATTATTACAAGACCAGAATAAGATCTTGGTTGCACTTTGACAACATAAAAAGTTCTCTCTCTGTATGTTTAATATTGCGTTACTAGAGATCTAGTATCTCTGTTTTCCATCCCTTTTGTCCTGGCCTGAGTTTATTTTCCCCCAAAGGCCTTGTGAGATTGGCTTTGCTTCAGTTTTCCAGGGATGAGGCACAGAGGCTCAAACAAGTGCTGGCCTTTCTGCAGTATACTGGAAGAGGCTTTACTACTGTTAAGTTTTTTGTTGAGATATCTAGATAAAGATAAAGCTATTGAAGAATCTTACCTTACATTCCCTGTTACGTAATCCTCCATTTGTGTTTATGATAGAATCAAATTTTGTTTCTTTTGCCTGAGAAAACCAGAATGGAATTATGGATTAGGAACACTTTAAAGAAATATTTTGAAAAATAAAGGGAAATTTAAAAAGCAAAGATGATTGGCCATACAAATGTGAAAGTGACCATAAAGCTGGTTACCTGACTGGAATTAAACTTTGAAGTACTGTAATCCTTCTTCATCAAAATATGTAAAACAGCATCATGGATTGTTAAGAAAAATATCGAGTCCTTTACTTCCTCATCAAAAAATTCACACCGTGCAAGCTTCTCAATGAAATCATCTGAAGAAAAGAAAGAATAATAGTTAGGAAGAAGAAACTGTCCATAGGTTTCTCTTTCAGGCTGGGATATGAGCTTTCATTTGCAAATGTGCATTTCATTGATGTCTGGGTAAGTGTTTGGGGTTTGCAATGGTACACTACCAATGTGCCATTAGTACACTGTCTTCTGGAACTAAACCACCCTTTCTAATAAAAAGTATACATTTAATGCCCTAAGGTAAAAAGATTGAAGGAAAAGGTTCAAATGAGAAAAACTTTTAATAGTTCTAGGGCCTGGATGAGAAATGACAAAGATATGGATTAAGGTAGTGGAACCAGAGAGGAAGAGACTGATTCAAGAGGTATCTATAGGCAACTCACTGAATGCAGAGGGACGGAGAAGGAGAAATTAAAGATGGCGCCAGGGCTCCTACTTTGGGCAACTGGGAGAGTGGTGATGGAGTGATTGCGATAGGAAAAGAGAAGGAGTGGTTTGGGGAGGGAGGATAATATATTGAGTTTTGAACATGTGTATCGGAGGTGCCTGGGGGACATCCCAACAGTTGAATACATGGGTCTGCAGCTCAGAAGAGAGATCTGGGCTGGAGGTGTATTATAGTTTGGGAGTTCGTTAACAAGATACACTTGCAGTCAGAAGCATGAAGACTGACTAGAACGAGTCCATGGGATTAGAACTATCGGGTTTAAGGGTGAAGCCGAGGAAAGACCGACTCTTCAAAGTGTGGGAGAGGAGCCAATAGTAGATGCTGAGGACCTGTGAGAGTGCAGGGAGGTGAATCAGGAGAATGGTCATGCAGAAGGCAGGGAGAGAGAGTCTCACAACCAAGCGCTAAAGAAAGGGCCAAATGCTAAAGTAAGCTCCGTGAGAAGGAGGCTGGGACGGAGGCAATTGATCTTGACATGCTGGACCTCACTGATGACCTTGGCAAGGGCAACCCATCAGCAAGGTGAAGCAGAAACCAGATTATCATGAGCTGAGGGAATCAAGGGAGGCAAGGGAGAGAGAAAACAGGCCTACATTTTCAAGAAGATGAGAGTAAAAAATGGTTACATAGTCACTCTTTTGCAGTCTACTAAACTAGGATTCAAATGATAAAGTTAATTTAATTGCATATCGACACAAATAAAATATAAAGATGCTGTTTCCATAAGGATGTCTATTGGTTCAGCTACAAATTAGATTTCCTTCTTGGTGATCATAAAAAAAAAATAGCTGTTCTTTGGAGAGGTTGTCTAGGTTGAGTTGACAATGAGCCTGAAGTGATTGTCAGAATATAAAAATATAACAACTTACCATCAGTTCCAACAATATACACATCTACCTTTATCCTGATAAATTCTTGCAAAATCTGTTAAAAAGAAAGTAGATCTTTCTTAGGGAACAGTTTCAGTTGTCAGAAATGTAAAGAAAACTATCATAGTTATGCCTTATGGGTGACATATTGCTTTCAGAACTGTTTACATTTTGAAAAGAGATAATAGTATAAAGAGACAAGGCTCAGTGGCAGAAAGAAAGCAATCCAAAGGAAAGAACAGCCCTAGTAAGGAGGAAGTTAAAAGTGATCATTCTCGTGAGAAGCATGATGGGAAAACGTTCTGCCTCACCTCACAAGATAAGCTTGGATTTAATTTTAAATTGAAGGGAGAAACAAAAGAATCTCCTCACTCCACCATGATGCTTACTTACATCACTCCCTCATTTTAAAACAGTTTTTTCGGTGGGATGATCTTGACTAGAGCTTTCTACATACATAAACATAAAAAATTCCTATGACCTTTAAGTTGTTCATTATTCCTGTTCACAGTGACTGGATGTATCTAGCACCAACAAATCTTTATCCAATGTTCTGGTCTCTAAGCTAGAACAATTACCAGTAGTGATATCATTAAGCTCATATAAAGGAAGAAAAGTAAGTTATACTGCTGATCAATTTAGATGATCATTAGTATCATTAGAACCTCTACGAGGCAAATTAGGGCTTTCAAGAAACATAAGGCAGAGCCCCTGTCTTTTGTGTTACATTGCTAGGATAAAAAACAATAAGTTTTATGTGTGTGTGTGTATTTTTTCCTCCAAAGCTAAAACAAAAAAACACGAAAACAGAGAAAAAAGAAAAAGCAAGCAGTCTTGAGAATTTTGTGATAAGATTTCTTTAAAGGTAGTTTGAAAGAAACGAAATTGACCCTATCTCTCCTACATTTGTATCTAGTTCACCCGTACTTAATCGATCTTATCTTAGCTCAGGTCTTCTGTAGGCAGGTTTCTGTGCAAAACCAAGCAAATGAGGGGGAAATGTGGAATTTCTTAAATTTTCTTTATATCTGTTTCTACATTTCTGTTAGACACTAATTTATTCTAGAAATCCTGATAAAATTGTGGAAAGAAAACGGACTGCAACCTAATTGTCTCAGTCCTTTTCTAAATCACATGTGACATTGATTCTTTCATATGTTTCTCTTTTTTGGAAACATTGTTATATAGCCAAGTGAAATTTCATCAGCTTATAATGGCTGAGAATAAAAACAAAAGGGGCCAGTATTTCACTTTTCCCCAAGACCTTTCCAAATCTTCTCTATTTTAGGACAATTTAGATATAATACCCACAATGATTTGAAGGCAACGCAGAACTGGAATTTGATAGGAGTTGGGCATAGTTGTCCGCTAGCAGCTTCAGGATACATTGGAAATGTAGGTTTAGTTGCCTTCAAACTTTTATGCCTGTCTCGTAGGAAATTCACTTTTAAAGAGTTTACTGAGCATGCCCCACTTGCACTCCCAGAGAATATTCTAAGATGATAATTTACTTTTACTTAAGTATGTATTACCTAAAGTAGCATCCTTTCATAAATACATTTTTTCACCTTTCGTCACTGATTAGTTGTTTCCAGTAAGAAAAAAGAAATTACCCTTTTGAGACCTCTCATTGAAGAAACGTCAAGAAATGACACTGCTGAAAAATCCAGAATAAGGCTATGCAGGTCAATTTTAGGGACCTCGAGATTGAGAGGAAGATCAGCATTCCAGTCTATCTGGAAAGGCAGGTCCGCGGTATTGATTGGCTGATCCAGTTCTTCTATCTGATTGTTGTCCATCTCTTCGTCAGAGTCTTTCAAGCCATCAATGGTATATATAAATCCTTTCTGCAAGAGAGGATGAGAATATGCTTGATAACTCAGACCACGAAATACACTGTGTATGTCAAGGATAACCAGTAACTTGCTGAAGCCCAGATTCAAAGTTGGGTCAAGCAAATGAGATTGTAAACTCTTTTCTTTGGAGAATAAAAATTGTCCTAGGAGAAGAAAAATTTTAAGGAGACCATCAAAGTTCCATTTAAAAATACAACATTAATTGACACATGAAATAGCTTGTTTCTCTGGCATTTTATTTAAAGGAATGGAATCAACATCTTGAACTACATTTGACTAAACTTTTAGCTATCATACACAGAAACGTGGTCAAGAAACTTACTGGTGTCACTTGTAGCAGGCCTGCCTTCTGCAGTTTTTTTATTTTCTTCACGGCTTTGTTGCGCTTGCGTAGAATTCGAAGTGGACTAAAGCCAACCTAAAAAACCCATTGCTGTGTTACAAGAGTACCGAATATTCTGCTACTTATATGGCATAATGTTAATAACTTTGAGTAGGATGGATCAAGGGGTTGAGGCCCATAATTATGATATTTGTAATAAAGTGTAAGTAGTTCAGACAACATCAGTGAGAGTGTTGTGTCTGGCCTGTGGTCTGCTCAGTCTCCATGCAGTTATTAACGTTCGAAAGCCTCAGTACCATCCAGGACCTGTCCATAAATTATCCACAAATGGGTCTAAACTCTATTTGAATCTGTTTGTGTTTTTGACCCACACAACTCTTAGGGGATTTTATTTTATTTATTTTATAAATGTTGCATACTGGTGGCATAATTAATATTCTGTTTCTACATAATTTTATTCTATTAAAATGTATATGATTATATTTCATAATATCTGTTATGAGATTTTATTTTATAAGTTTAGTATTTGACCCAAGGATAACCTTTATTTCCCCCTTTTCAAGACAAATGTGTTTTTAGTGTGGCAATATTTAGCTCCAGAGTAGTAATTAAGAAGGATCAAAAGATACTAGATTACATGAAAAGGACAGTATGTAAAGTTATATATACCATATGAACAAATTATTATTAAAAAAAAATTTGGTTGAAAAATATTTGATGCCCACCAAACTAATAACAATAGGTAGGGCTTTAAGGCAGAAGCTCAATGCAAAGTATAGAGTAGACCAAAAGGCATGTTCAGGAGTAACGGCTAAGCTTTTGTTTCTTAACCTTGAAGATGGTTTCTTTGTCATCTCTCTAGTCTACCAGGGACACCTAGTTGTTATTTCATGTTAAATAGTCATTTACATTATATTTATTCATTGTATTTGTATTATAAATATTTATTTGTTATCCTGCATCTCTTCAATGGTGCAGTCAAATATTAAATCCCTTTGTTGTTTCTGAAGTTGATTCCCCAAGAAAATCTGTAGGAGACTATCTATTAAAAACCAGCGGCCCCAAATCTGTGGCAGTTTTACTCTACAGCAGAATTTAGTCAAAGGTGGCTGTCTATTGGACATTGTCTGAAGAGTCTTATTTTCCAACATATTAAAGGACTTGTTATAAGGCCGTTTCACCATGGGATACAGAAACACTACCACAACCCAGCCAACACATATGTGAAATCAATGACCCTGTCTTGTTATAGAACAAACATTTCATTTCTAGACATTCAGTGGAATTACAAACAAAAAAAATTAGTAACCCCGAAACTTACAGCCTCGATAAGTTTCTGTCTAAAGAAATTAATGTTTGCAAAGTAAATAGGAGATGGACATCTGAAAATTTTCACTCCTTCGTGTTCATACATCTGTAAGGCAGAGAAGTAATATTAGATGGTGTCTGTTAGATTCACATGAATATCACTTAGCAAGTCAAAGTAAAAAAAATAAATCTTCCTTACTTCAGAATAATCTTTTTTATTTTTATAGATGTTGCTCCTTCCAACGTTAGCCAGTGTGCTGCATTTTGGACTGTAGGGAAAATCAACATCATACATGTGAATCATTTGTGTATATCTGGGAGGCCGAGAAACTGATGTTTTCCCAGCCTACCACAGCAGGCTCCCTTTTCCAAATGTAAGAGTTGGGGACTCATCATGCCACCATAGATCCTAGAGGGCAAACCCCTTGTTTTACTTATCCTCCCGTAACTCCTAGAACAGTGCCTTCCCTCTACCCCTTTCTAGTTTATAGGGTGCTTCCATATGCTTTTGCTGTGGTGATTCCGAATAGCAGTTATTCGGTGAAATAAGGCAGAAATGAGTACCCAGTTGTATAGATGTGGACATGGAGAAGTATAATGACTTGCCTATGACCACTCAGTTTGTCTCTATGTTTAATGGGTCCTCAAGAAATGAATGAAGATGTAAATGAGTGGAACATTGTGATATAAATATATTCCATCAGTCAAGGATGAATGTTATGATAACACTTTCTGTTCTAGAACTCCTTAGCCCCCAAGAAGCCTGATTTCTCTGTCACACATGTACTTCCAACACAGGCAGAGTGACCACATGTGGTAATGTTTTATGTCAGAGACTTAAGAATCAATGTGATGTTTGGACTTGATGACTGTTACAAATCATGAATTCTAAGTGGCTTTTGTGGAATTCTAGGATGAGGGGTCTTTGAGAAATTCTCTTAATTCAGCTCCATATTTTTCAGGTTAGAATACAGTCTAACAACCTATAAAGAGGAATAACCCTCCACTAGATGTGGAGCATCTCACAGTCTTCTCAGTAACACATTCCCACGTGTAACGAGTCTAAGGTAAAGACATGAACCTGCTCAGAATATAATTACTTCCAGTGTACAGGTGGGTAGACAGAGATTATATGATTTCTCTGAAGTGGAGTCAAAGCAGGGAGCAGACCAGCAGCCATTGGGACCTGGGATGATGCCCTAAGTTCAGGCCCTTCTATTGTCCTTCGGGTCTAGGGATGAGCAGCCTGAGGAAGGACAGACTCACCAATCTTGAGGGGTTTTTTTTGGGTTTTTTTTTAGCTGAGCCATCCTGCCACCTGTTGACAACTCAGCGGCAGCTCAGCTTGGGCTGGGACTCGAACCACTATTGCTCAGAGTTCACGCTCTTGAGCAAGCTCTTAACCAACTGAGCCACTTGGCTGGCCCCAGACTAACCAATCTTGATAGACTTGCATGCTGCCTATCAACTGAACTACGTTTCCCTTATCTAGTGATGAGTTTTTCCCATCTGACACTGGCAGGCCAAAGTCTGCGCGGAGGCAAGAGTGTGACGAGCACTCACAATTGGGTCCTGAACACGATCGTCAGGAGCTGAAACGCCACACTAGCTGCCAGGCCTAAACCGAGTCCCAGGACAATGACAAAGATGAAGGTCATGATCCAAATTAGCTGCAAAAAGAATGCAACACATACGCTACAATTGACTGATTCAAGTACAGTGTCTTAGGTCCAGAGCTATGAGAAGCATGAATTTCTACAGACAATAGTGGAGGTTGGAATTGTACAAGAGAAGGGACCCGCCTCCAGAGGTCACTTCTGCTGGCTTAGGTTCTGAGCCACAGAAACACAAGCAGATATTTAAAAACTCCAAAGAGAGTATCTCCATTGCTAACCCCATCCCTGAACCAATTAAGAAAATGAATGTATCTGTCACAGCTAAAATTCCAGAACCAGCTGTTCTTCCTTAACATTAGCGAATTAGTCGGTAGAGCCTATCCAGCGGTTCTCAACCTGTGGGTCGCGACCCCTTTGGGGGTTGAATGACCCTTTCACAGAGGTCGCCTAAGACGATCAGAAAACAAAAAGATATTTACATTACGATTCATAACAGTAGCAAAATTACAGTTATAGAGTAGCAATGAAAATAATTTTATGGTTGGGGGTCACCACAACATGAGGAACTATATTTAGGGGTATTAGGAAGGTTGAGAACCGCTGGCCTATATTAATCTCTTACTTTTGGTCTGCTGATTTCATTAATGGCTACGATCTCTAAAAAATTTTTAGCATGTCGAAGGGCTGTGAAAATGCCCAACAATTATCTAGCAGGAAGAAAATAAACCAAGTATAGTTTATTACTTTACGCTTATAAAGTACGGTAGGATCTGTTAAATATTTTTATGCCACAGACTTTGACCCTGATGTAATTATGGACTCTGCTTCTCATAACAAGGCATGTTGAGAGCAAGAGGGGCCTCTACAGAGTATTTCCAAAAGGAATGCTCAGAATTTAAGTTTTTTACAGGTTCCCTGGTAATTCACATATGATGTAATGAAGACCAGAAGCAATGCATGCCCTCAACTTTAGAGAGTTTCTGTAGCATCTGGGATGACTGTAAGAGTTTTTAGACAGATCTAAGAAGTTCCGTACCAATGTTTCCTGGAGCGTTTCTTTCTTGAAAGTGGGCTCATCATTTTAAATTAAAATCCCGGAGAAGGAGCATTAGAATATGCAGTTTAAAGATAGCAAATGAAACAAATGAAGGTTATTTTAACAGATATATAGAGACAAAATTTCTCTTAGTTTACAATGTAAATATGCATTTTACATCAGCATTAAAATGTCATCCTAATTTCTCTCTCCAATACCATCGCCTCTACTTACACAGTCATACTTATCCTTTCGCCACAGTCTTCGTATCTCCGTGAACTGCATCAGCATTCCCTTTAAGTTTCCAAGTGCTAAGGCTGCCAAGACAGACTGTGAAAAACATAAAAAGCAGATGGACTTGAAGATAGCCAAACAAGCCACACGGAGGCAAAGGTGAGGGCTGCAGATAAGTGAGTCCTTTAAATAGTCTCAAAGCAAAGGGCACACCTTTTTGTAAGTTGTGCAGTGCCGAGTAAGACATCCCAGACCTGGGACTCTGACCTGGCCCCATGTGTGATTTTGTCCCTGCCACAGCGACAGCGACATGCCATAGATGAGCTGACAGCACGTCCTAGGCCAGCGGTTCTCAACCTTCCTAATACAGTTCCTCATGTTGTGGTGACCCCCAACCATAAAATTATTTTCGTTGCTACTCTATAACTGTAATTTTGCTACTGTTATGAATCGTAATGTAAACAGCTTTTTGTTTTCCAATGGTCTTAGGTGACCCCTGTGAAAGGGTCGTTCAACCCCCAAAGGGGTCGCAACCCACAGGTTGAGAACCACTGTGACCTAGACTGTACCCTGGGACCAAGAAAAGCAGATCTTAAGACCTAGGATGGAAATAAATTCTTCTCCATCAGAGATAGTCTAATGTGTGTCTATTTATAAGAGGTGGGAGAGGGAGTTGCTCTTTCATTATTAAAAAAAAAAAGTTTGGGGAGCTTCGGGTCCTGGAATTAGAGTTCAAACCTTTGATGATGCTCAGCAATCATGCCATTTAGAAGGAGGAAGCTGGAGATCACAGAGAGCTAGCAGATTTGAGGCAGACTCTCTGGGACAGTGTAAACACATCTGTCATGTTCCCTGCTATATCCCCACAACCGAGCAGGCTAAATGCATATAGGAGGGGCTCAACAATTATTCAGTGAATGAGTGGATGAGCTAATGAATTAATGTTTCCCGAGTCAGTACTAAACACCCAGTAACACAGCCTCTTTTAAGTAGCACTGATGTTGCTATCAACCGAATAGCAGTTTCACTAAGAGGTCTGGATGGAAAATTCAGCTCGGCTACAGCGATATTTCAGGCTTCTGATTCTCCACATGTCCAGTGAGATCATTTAACATACAGGAAGGATGACGGTTAAGGTGAAAAATGCTGACTCACGAAGTGTGGGCCCTTTCTTATTTGGATTTCAACACAATGGTGGGAACATGCCCCAGTCCCAGTCCCAGTCCCAGTTCCAGTCCCAGTCCCGCCCCCAATTCAAGCTGTTCCATTCCAAACAATCTGTACACTGATTACTTCAGTGCCATAAAAGTACAGTGTAAAAAAACAAACAAACAAAAGAAACCCAGACACAGTTTTTATTTTCACATCTCAAAGATTGTTCAACTGACTTTTGATTTTCACAAGTAACATTTATAATTTAATATCTAACCAGCTAATTTTACTCACTGTGAGAACAGAGGTCACTGTTTAGAAGACTAAATATGGTCTTAAGTGACTTTAAAAAGGAAATTTTACTCAAATAAACACCAGTTCAAAATGGTGAAAACTGAACAAAGTCTGTAATCTGGTTAACAGTACTATGTCAATGTGTCACTGTCATTTACTGGTTGTGATATTGTACTGCAGCTTTGTAAGACGCCATCACCATGGTAGCTGGGGAGGTGTGGGGAGCCAACTGGGATAAGCCAGGGACACTGAGGCTGTAAGCTGGCAAGCTACAGGCCTCCTTGTTAGGGTGAGCAGCTAGAGAGCAGCTTAAAAGTTACAGACCAGAGCTGCAGTAAGGGTTAAGCCTGACAGCTGGCAAGCTGACAGACTCCCTGGCCCCGGGGGAGCAGCATGGGGAAGGCTGCTGGGTAGATCTCATCTCCACTGTGCCGCTGAAGAAAGAACAGCCAATGTCACAGACAACCTTGAAAGTTACAGAGTGGAAGGCCATCCTGTTAACAGTTCCTGCTTGCTATGTTTTGTCTTACTTCGGGGAGATTGCTTCCCCACACCCCATAAAAAGCTCCCTCAAGCTCCCAAAACCCCCTACCTAAGGAAAGGTACTTTTGCTATAAAAGCTGTGTACAACCAATAAACGGGGCCACTCTGCCATCAGCACTAAGTGGACCTCCCATTCCCAGCTTTTTGTCTCTATCTCTTTATTTCTCGTCTCCCACCCAATCCTTCCAGGTGTGTTTGGTTGAGCGAGCTGGTCTCGTTCAGGGAGAGGTTCAGAGGGCTCTACAGGGAGCCTCCTGCTTTGGGGGACTTTAGTGTAAAACATGTCAAGTGTCACCTGCAGAAGAGACTAATTTTTGTTTTCATTAGGCATTATTTCCCACCTGACCTGTATTCCACGGAAAAACAATTTGAAACAGTTTATAATGAAATACATACACAATAGAGCCCTTTAAAAAATAAAGATTACAGAGCATTGAGCAGCCAGAGAGAGGAAAAGGGATCATTTTACCAGGAAGCTGGTGTCCACACTGTAATTGATATAAAGGATTCAATACACATAAAACGCTTAGGACTCTGTTGATGCTCCGTAAGCACTCAAAAAACACTCATTATTAGGTATCATTATGGGTTATTTTGCCCTCTTATGATAAAAAGAAGCAGGGCTGGCTGAGTGGCTCAGTTGCTTAAGAGCTCGCTCAAGCGTGAGAGCTCTTCGGGTTCAATTCACAGCCCGAGCTGAGCTGCCGCTGAGCTGCCAACAGGTGGCAGGATGGCTCAGCTAAAAAAAAGAAAAAAAGCAAACCAGCTGTTCAGGGGAAACAAGGATATTATAGATACAATGGTCTAAGCACTTGTCATGTGAGTCTTTGTGGGAGGGGTTTTGATTAACATCCCAGACAATGGCCTTGGGTGTGTTTACACACAAGAGAGATAGGATTTTATGTGGCTATTGTTTCTTTAGTTTCTGCAAGTTGGTGTGGATGAGGGAGAGCCCAAGTGTACAATCTGGAAGAAGCACAACAGGGCAGAATTCTCCACGTAGGGGGGTTGTATATGCATTTATTTTTATTGACATCTATATTCTTCTGTTTCTTTGGGGGTGGCTTCCTGACTCCTTTAATACAATTCCTTTGGAAATCAGGAGGTTAGCATATGGAGGACACTTATTTCTGGCAAACAGTACTTTGCATTGCTTGAATACAGAGTGGGCCAGTGAGGCTCTTTGGGGTGAAACCTGAGACCAAATTCACATTCCAGCTACCAACCAACAAGAAAAAAGGCCTAGATATCAACCAATAAATATTGGCTGGCTCTGTCATATCTCTATGTCTGTTGCAGTCAGAAGTGTATTGGAATGTTCTCAGAATAATAACGATAACAATATTAACAAAAATGGCTATGATTTATTAAGTGTCTATCATGTGCCACACCCTGGGCTAAGTACTTCACATGCCTTATTTTATTTAATATTTGCAGCAACTCTGTGAGGCAGGTGCCTATTTTGTAAACGGGCACTTTGAGGTTGAGAGAAGTTAGGTAATTTGCTCAAAGCACACAGCAAATAAGTGGCAGAGCCCTGCAGGTCTGCAGAACCCTAGAGCCAGCGGCCACACACTGCCTTACACTCATGTTAATACCACAAAGAGCAATGTGTTTGCCGTTGTTTGGATTCCTAGAGACCCCGTGTTTTCCAGGGTCTGCTGCTATGTTTTTCACCTGGGAGCCACAGCAGTTTACAAAGCATTCACCTAGACCCTCAAAAGCTACATCCAGGATCGCTGGACAGAGGAGCACAAGGGTGAGTGTGCCAAGCCTGTGTCTGGCTGTTCGCTCCCGTCCTGCAACCTGACAGCTTTGGTTTTGGAGTCCAGTAAAACTCTGGGAGCTGCAGGGCGACCATCTAAGAACAGGTTGTGCGGCTGGTAGCACCGACCTCCTAATTAGAGGCCCAGGTTATCTCAAGCTTTAAGAAAATCTTCACTTCAGTTCATTCATACTGAAACTGCAGTGCCCAAGTGTCTAGCTGTCTAAACATTCATTATATTCCGGGCTAAGAACATGGGAAGAGCGGAGTAGATACGATCATTTGGGCCTGTGCATTCCTAACATTCATAAAATGCTACCAGGGGAAAAATAAATAGTTTTGGCCCACAGAGTACTGGCTAAAAAGAAAACTTGGGAGTTTGTAGTTAGTTACCTCATTTTCCCGCTTGGTTTGTTTCCAGAGTTTAGAAACCAGGGTCCTTGATTCATTACTCAAAGGAGAGAGACAGTTTCCAAAGAGAGAAGGCTGTTGTTACCTTTTGCATTGGCTCCAGAAGAAATCCAAGGGCTACAATTACAATCAGCACGATAACAGCAGAGAGAAGCCCAGCAACCTGTGAAGATGACAACACTCTCACCACAAAATCTGCTTTTCCGTTTCGCATCCCCCAGTGACTAATGCAGGTTGGTGCTGGCAGCAATGAGCCTGAAATACCTGTGTTTTGCCTCCAGTGCTCTCCTGAATTGCCGACCTGGAGAGGGCCGTACTCGAGGCAAATCCTTTGAATGATCCAGTGAATATATTACTTAACCCCAAAGCTATTAACTCCTGACAAAAGAACAAGGAGGAATCTTTTTTTAGAAGCTGCACCACTGATACACTATGTACACAAAATAGTATTTAAAGTGGCTGAATTCAACCCAGCATAGGTTGTAGCTTACCTGATTGCCATCAATTGGATAATCGTGTTTGAGGGAATAGACACTGGCGACCGAGAAGGCTACTGCGAAGCCAACGATGGCAATGCTGAAGCTATCGACGATGGTCTCTTTGAAAACCTGCATGTCAGGTGTAACAGGGGCCGGAAATCTGAAATTGAAATAAAGCAAGTCTGAATGTCACCAACCTGCTTAGAGACTGTCAATGTATCCATTTTCTCTCAGGAAAAGTCCAAATTCCTTATCAAGGCCTCAGTCTTCCCTGTGCCCCCATTCCTGCTTAAATCACTCCCATTTCCAAAAATTTATGCTCCAGCCATACCCAGCTTGTTTGTTTGTTTGTCTTTCAAAAAGGTGTCACCCATTCTCTCACCTCGGAAGCTGCTGCTAACTTGCTGTTCACTCTGCCTGAATCATCCTCTCATCCCCGTCCTTCCTTCCAGAAAGCTTTTCCTCGCCAGCAAGATCAGCGTTAAAATAGATTCTCTGTGATTCCTTAGCGCTTGATACCCGCCTTCCCCATCTCTTCCACCCCCACCCTCACCCCCACCCAGGCCAACTCTCCACGCAGACACTGAGCAGAAACTGACTGTGACCAGGACCAAACACTCTTCATGGCATATATCAGGTGGTCAATAATTGTTGGGCAAATCAATGAATGAATGCCATCTAGGATGAATGGTGCCTAACTTTGGAGCATGACTAGCAAGAATTTAACACCAGTGAAAACTTTGGAATCTGTTATCGTTGAAAATCAATGCTGCTTGAGTTTGATACAAGATTGTAAATACAGTCCAATGAAGTGGTACATCTGGTGTGATTCTGCTAGTATAACTGTATTATAATGTACACTTATATCCCCATAATCTTCATGCAAAATGTCTTAGGTCCCACTCATATTGTTACATTTGGTGGCAAAGCATCACCCACAATGTCTTCACTACTTCTCCATGGATGAAGACTTTCTGAGGAAACACAGTTCTGAGGCAAGTCAAGTAAGAAAGTCTTCTTTCCATTGATAACATAACCTTTCATAGAAAACCCTTAGCAAACAGATGGGGCTTGGACACTGCCCCTTGCTCCACAGAAGTGCTAGAGCCAGCTGTGCCCTGATGAAAAAGGGGTTTCCATTTACAGTGACTCTGTGTCAGGGAAACGGTAATCTCAGAGGTTATTTTTGTGCTATAGACTTAGACAGTTAAACGATATTTGCTAACTGCATTATAAAAGGTACACATATCTCAAACTCAACAGCAGTTTATTCAAATGCCCAGCTTCTGTAAACACCTAAAACTTATTGGCGGTGGGGTAATTGTATCCATTCAACTCTTAATTGCTGTTCATGTTTTGTGACTATCCAGGATTAAAAATTTTCAGCTCTAATTTTGAAGAAGTGCTATTATCTCACATTCTGAAGCTACCATGAAACAGAAAGTTAGCTTGAAATAGTGTTTGTTTATGAAATAAATCTAAAGTCAGTGATAAAATTAAAATTTGCATTTTATACCAAAATAACCAGAAGCCTGCTATTATTCTTTTGTTCTAGCCTCTAAACACCATAGACCAAATGGTGCAATGAAGTTTTATGGTCTGAAAACTTGAGTTCATTTCCTAGTTCTGTTACTTCCCTAATTCCCTGAGCCCAAGGTCAAGAAGTAAATTCCAGGCATTCTGCCTCTAGAACTTGTGAGCTTGCCTACTAGGCTACACCGCCTCTCTGTAGAGCGTAACGATTAATGAATAAGTGTGAGTTCCCTCTTCCACACACACTGTGGAGAGAAAGCCATTGACATTTAAAATATATTCACTAAGTAAAGTCTCTAAGTGATGTTAAGTTTATCTTTTATTCCCAAAACCCTCTTGACAAGAGCCCCTTGAATTTAATAAGGTGTAATTACTTGAAAGCTGCAGAGTGGGGAGAAACCCTAGAAATAGTTCTTCAGCTTCCGTCTAACTCTTACTTTAAAACCTTTTAAATTAAAAGTGATGTTTGTGACTCATTAAGTGTAACACATGAATAGCTGGTGATAATATTTTTTTGCTTAAAAATATATATTTGCTTTTAAAAGAAGGTGGCTATTCTTAAGACAACAATGCACATAAATACTGATTCCTGGAATTCTCAAATACTCCTTAAGCATGGGAGGGAAGGAGGTCTTTCTTTCTTTCTTTCTTTCTTTCTTTCTTTCTTTCTTTCTTTCTTTCTTTCTTTCTTTCTTTCTTTCATTTCTCTCTCTCTCTCCTTTCTTTCTTTCTTTCACAGGAATATGACCTTTCCTTGGTAAGCAAGTTGGAAGAAATTGATGGTATGGTCTGAGGGCAGAGACAGGAAAGAGCACAACACGATAAATGCAACGGATACATTTTCCAATTCCCCATATGAATTGGACATCCCATCCACCTGCAGTGCTGAGTTGCTCTGGCCTGGTTTTGAGTCTAATCACTGGAAAGGACAAAGTGTGCCTCACTGCGCTGCTCAGGTTGTGTGCCAGGTGTGCCTCCAGTGTCTCTTTTGAACTGTCGGAGCTTGGCTCCGGTAACCTCAAACAAAACACTACATACTGTTTATAGTAATTTATGAACAAGGAAATCTGGTTTCATTTGGTTTTCTTTTTTTATAAGGAGAAGCTGGTTTAATCTGCCTGTTTTTTGACTTTCACTAGGGTTTGAGTCCCTGTCCATCTGGTTTGTGAGTTCTTCCACAGGGAGAAAGAAACTTCCTAATATGAAGGACTACAGACCCACAGGTCCTTGTGGCTCCTTCCTAGAAGCCTCATGTGTGCCGATGCAGGAGGAGTCTGACCGGAGTGACACATGCAGCTGGCAGCCTTCTGTATCTACTGCTTGCTCTCTAACTAGTGCTTGGAGATGTCATCATAAAAAACACACTCACCCTTTTTCCATCTCCCCAATCACAGTCACGTTAAACCTGTTTTTGAAGTCAAAGCCATAGGATATACCTGTTGTGATCACAGTCTGCAAAGTCACAAATTGCCCAAGTTAGAAATGTGAGATAGATCTAAGAGTCTTGCTTTACAAATAATACCACTGTCCAAAACCACCTCTTCACCTATGAGATAAGAATCTCAAGCGTAGGCTCTACTGCTTTTTAAAAAGTCCCCAGGTAGTTCTAATGTGTCACTAGAGAATCACCACTCTAATTCAAATGGGTCTATTGGCTTCTCAGAGACCTTATCCTCTGCACCAGCCTTGTCTTACACAAAAGGAATAAATCCAAAATCATAAGAGGTAGTGATTAAATTCTGAACGAAGATAAAACCTTACTAAGTCCTGTACTTAGAACGTGCACAATGGCACCTGCCCCACGGAAACCTCCTTATCTGCAGATGGTGAAGGACTTTCAACAAGCAGACACGAGATTAATGAATTACAAAGTCTTAAGATGATCAGTTACCATGATGAGTTCAATTGGGATGGGCGCTGGAAGTTTGGCTTTGTATCGCTCATTTATCTCTTTAACCACACATAAAATGAGAAGGACAGTCAAGGACGTCACAAGGTCTGCAATATTAGTCTTCTCTATTTGTGTGAATATGGAATTTAGTATCTAAAATTATAAAAACAAAAACACGCAAGTGGTATGTTAATGTGGATACAACACTCAATTATTTCCAAATAGATAGAATGAACAATGAAGCGAAAGGACTGACAGACATTGACGGTGTCTTGCCCCTTTCATTGTGGATGAGTAGTGCAGAGACTAGCATACAGGCACAAGGAGGCTAAGTAGGCAGTGTCAGCACCACACCAGTTTGGGATGCTTCTGCATTTTGGCTGGGAATCTTCTTTGGCTAGTGTCAGGTTTTCTTGGATACTTTTCATATTTTTACAACTGGTCTCTTCTGCTCTTAGGTCTGTCTGGCCATCATTTGTTATTTCACAGTCATCACGATTGTTCTGTGCAGGGAGTAACCTCTGATCCCTGATAGTTTTCCTTAGGATATATTCTCTTAATTCCTGGCTCTTTTTAGGTCAAGACACCCCACACATTCATTTACTCTGTGTCACTTTTGGAAATGATTTTGTTAGTTGACTGCACTGTGTGTAATTTTAATTCTCGAAGCCAGTTGAATTCCATATCCATGGGATGAGGACAGCTCAATCAGACTCAAGCTAGACCCCAAATTGCTCCAAGAACTCCACTTCTGGGATAGCTCTGGATGGCAGTGAGAGAGTGTTAGTTCCAATTTGGAGCAAGTTTTGTCTCAGACCCCCAGTGACTGTCATGATAGAAGCACTAATAAGCCCAAAGTTAGCAAAAAAAAAAAAGGAAATAACAAAGATCAGAGAGGAATAAATCAGATAGAGACTAAAAAAGATATCAACAAAATTAAGTGCTGGTTTTTTTGAAGTGATAAACAAAATAGACAAAACTATAGCTAGATTCACCAAGAAAAAAAGAGAGAGAGAACTCAAATAAATACAATCAGAAGAGTTAAGAGGGCCGGCTGAGTGGCTCAGTTGGTTAAGAGCTCACTCAAGAATGTGCTCTGAACAACAGCAGTTTGAGTCCCAGCCCGAGCTGAGCTGCCAACAGGTGGCAGGATGGCTCAGCTAAAAACAAACAAAAAAGAAGAGCTAAGAACACTTTGTTCTACAGAATATCCGCTGAAGAAAGGAAGAACCGCTGTCCTATTCACAGAGTGGCCAATTTCCTTTCGCTTTATAAACAGGGGTGTATAAGAGAGTCAGGAGGACTTCAATTCTAAAAGAACGAGAACTGCTTTTTAGAAATAGTGAAGTATTATCACTCAATTAGCACATTTCTTTCAAAATAAGATTTTAAGAAACATTTTAAAACTTGGGACAAAATACTAAAGCTTTTAATAATGTACTTTTTTTTCCTTTTTAATAATATTCAAGAGTCAAATCTCAGAGAAGTGGTATTCAGTTTCTGTTGTTCACATTAGCTGTGCAGTAGATGTGGTTGATTTTCACTGTTGTTTCCTTTGCCACTCACTTTCTTAATGTGAATAAATTTCACAACCCATTTGTTTTTTGGAAGTTGTAGGTAAATCCCATGGCAAAGGCATGAAAGGGAAGTTCTCCCAGAAACATGAGAGTGAGTTTCATGTATTTCAATATTGTTTAAGCAAAAAGAATACTTACTTTGAAAATTGAAAATGGATCAGTGTATGTCTTGACATCCAGCTGAAGAATAAATTTGAGTTGGGAAACCAAAACGTGAACAGCTGCAGCTGTGGTGAAGCCACTAATTAGGGATTCAGACAGATACACCACCATGAATCCCACCTGCAGAGCCCCCATGACCAACTGGAAAGAGAAGGCAAGGCCTGTGTTAATGTAGATGAGGAGTACAGCTCAGCAACCTGAAGGGCCAGCAATTGAAATGAGTCAAAATGTAAACGTTCAGCCTGTACATATGTATCTTGAAGACGCATGAGTTTCCCCTGGAGCATCTCCCATTAGGGCTCCCTCCCTCTCCTCCCCAATTCCACCCCATCTGCAAGGTGGACTGTTACATGCTGTTCAAATAGCTTGCAAGCCTAGCACACCCCAAGAAATAACAGGCTTATCTCCCCTTCCACTTTTTTTAAAGGTGCAGTAGCTGTAGAAGACTCACCCATTGCCTTTCATAGCAGAATATCTAGCATCAGCCCTCATACATTTTCCCCTGTAATTTTAAGGTACACTTTCTAGCTGCTGTAGCTTGCATGGGTGAGCATCCATTCATATTCTTTCAAACAAGTTGTTTGACTTTTGTAAGAAGTAAATAACCACACATTGAACATCTGAAGTGCTCGGTTTTCACGGGGCAAAAATCCTCCCTTGGGTGCCTGACCTGTGTTATAAAACATCCTCAGAATGCTCCTGGAGCTGTGGACCTGCAACGGCGCTAGGTTCAGAAATGTCTTAGAAAGAGCTGACCACACTGTCAACAGGACACACCACTTATGTATTTGTATAAATGGCCTCTTTCTTTAAGGAATGGTCTTAACCAATAACATCACTATTCATAAGCTTGGACAACATCTTGAGGAGTCCATGACGTTTTCGCCATCAGCTGTGGTGTGGTGTGGCATGGGAGGGAGGCTTTAGGCCCCTCCATAAATCTCTCCAGCTTTTCCCAGATCTTTGATATGAACAGTTCAAAGTGCTAAACCCCAACCCCTTCTAATTAGATTACAGTCCCTGAAGAATTAGGAAGAAAAAGATTCAGTTTCACTATGACTCGCACATAGTTTAGTGGCTATATCAATTCCCAGGTATTTTATTAAATTCAGAAATTCAGCATTTTACTCCTCACCACGTGTGCTTTCCTGTTCCCACTTTTCCTTCTCTCTAGAGCCATGTTCACTGATCCTTGCAATGCAGAACTGCCCCTCCACTTCTGGTTGTGGTGAGTGAGCCCCTTTACATTGTTCCCTATGGGTCACAGAAGGAGGGCTACAAATCAGAGGGCAGAGTAGGGAGGGGCAGCAGGAAGGAGGAAAACCAGAAAAATGTGTACCAGTCAGGACAAGGGAACTGGGGAGGGTAGATTACGTGAGAAAGTGCTCACCTGCATGATTCCAGAAAGAATTGTGACCATTGCAGCCACCATGACCTTATGCTCATCTAGTGACGTGTCATTATTCATTGAGCTATTAGAGGAATTCATAGCATCTGGACTGGCCGTTGAGGTTAATCTCATAACCACTGCTCCCACCATGACACTCAGAATTGGAAATGGACCTAATTAACAGAGGGTGCATTGTGGTCAATATATGCCTCCGTAAAGTACGATTGTCTTTCAACCATAATGAAACATATAAAAAGATTGCTCTGTTCTCCTTCCCCAAGACCCAGTCCTAATTCTCAGAAGAAACTATGACTCTTCTCCTGGATTATGCACAATTTGAAACTGATACAATGTGTGGCTAATGAAATTCATAAAGATAAAGGAGTGTGAGAGTTAATTAGCCCAGAAATTCACTTACCCGCAGATATGTGTCTAGAAGTGCCCAAGAAAAAGTAGACTATGATTGGGAAAAAGGCTGCATACAACCCATAGCTTGGGGGGACGGTGACAAGCAAAGCATATGCTAAACCTGTAAATACACAAAATCAGAGTCTTTATTTCTCACAAGGGGAATCATAAAAGTTCTCTTTAGGTTTTTTAAGTATTTAAAATTGGATCCTAAATATAAATTACTTTATTTACTTCAATGTATCAAACATATAAATGTAAGAGCTAAAACAATAAAACTCTTAGAAGAAAACATAGGTGTAAATCTTTGTGACCTTGGATTAGGCAATGGTTTCTTAGAAATGACACCTATAGCATAAGCAATCAAATTAAATACAGATAAATTGGGCTTGATCAAAGTTTAAAATGTGTGCTTCAAAGGATACTATAAAGAAAGTGAAATGACAACTCTTAGAAAGGGAGAAATTATTTGCAAATCATATCTTGAATCAGGGTCTAGTATCCAAAATATATAAATAACCCTTGCAACTCAACAATAAAAAGATAAATAACCTAATTTTAAAATGTGCAAAAGATTTAAATAGACATTTTGCAAAAGATATACAAAACACCATAAGGACATGAAAAGTTGCTCAACATCATTAGTCATTAGGAAAATACAAATCAAAACCACAACGAGACACCATTTTATACTGATTAGAATGACTAAAATAAAAAAGGCAGACAATAACAAGTGTGTACAAGGATGTGGAGAAATTTGAACCCTCACACTTTGTTAGTGGGTTATGATATGGCACAGCAATTACACTCCTAGGTATATACCCAAGAGATATGTTCCCACAAAAACTTGTACGCA